ATAAAAAAATTTTTGTTTACTCTTCCATCTCCCTCTCTCTCTCTCTCCGTCACGCTGTGGGTGTCTCTCTCTCTCTTCCTTTTTGCAAATTTTTATGTGCACAATGAATTAATGGTAATTATAAACCAGATATACATATATATAGATGGTATTATATTTAATATATACATAGTATATATATATATATATATATATATATATTGTTTTTTTTTTTTTTTTTTCTTGAAAATGGTTCACTTTCTTTTGCACCTGATTTTAATTAAACTGGTTTCTAGCGCCCGAACTGGTCTAGTTGGTAATTGTTAATGGGCATCACTGGCCTCTGGGCGCTCCACACATTCATGGTCAATGTAATAGCCACACTTACGATAATCATAAAAAAGAAAAGCTATATAATGCAGTAAAATTTTAAATTATATGTAACTTTTTAAAATGTTTGTCTCTATTACAAAAGCTTGGCAGCATATTTTCTATTTATATCTATATATTATATACATAGATTATTCCTGTTGCTTGATTCTTAGCATTCCTATTAGATTCTTAAATTCTTATTTGACTCCTCAACGAATTTACTAATAGCTCAGCAAGATTGATTCACTATATCTATTAGCTGTGCGGCCACATTTGTCTGATTAATGGATTTTTGCCTAATAACTAAATCTCACAAATATTTAGTAATTTTTTTTCCTAAAAAAATTGTAATAATTTTTATGAATTTAACATATAATAAAAAAATTTGTTGGATATAAGAAAAATAAAATATTTATATTATAAAAGCAACGACAATATTTAAATAAATATAACATCATTTGAAGAAGAGTTATAAAATTTTATACTATTTTAAAATTTCTTTTACTTTTTTTTATAATACTTCAATTCAGCATGAATTATTGAATTTTGATGAATACTCCTTAAAGTTGAAAGCTTCTAATATTTATTTTTTTCACTAAAATATGTGTTCTATTTTTCATACTTTTTGTAATTCAGCTTAAATAGTTTTCATCTAGCAACCTTTATGAATATTTAAATTTCATTTAAATTTCATATTTTAAACATATATATTTTTCCCCCATTATTTTTGTTTCATATATTTTTATTTTAATATATTTATGTACAAAATTTAAACAAGTTGTAATATATTCCGTTATCTAAATCGCTTTTGGGCCAGATGTTGTTGCCAAATGGTTTTCAATTGAAATTTTATGCAGCTACGCAAACTGCCTGTTAAATTGTCTTAATGATGATAATATTTGATAATTTGTTATGCCATTTAAATGAAGTGCGATTGCTTAAAGCATTTCAAGCGACTTGACTGGCTGCATTTGGAATCGGAGTTGGGATTGCAATTGGAATCGGAATTGGCCAAGTGCCAAGTTTTTGGCTGCTTGCGCATCTGTGCTTGCCACAAGATGCAAATTGTCTGGTCGTGGCAGAGGGCGCGAGAAAGACGCGAAGGGCTAGAGAAGTTTTCTCTCTTGAGCTTTGCCGTTGTCAAATGTCCCAACAAAGAAGAAGCAAGAGGAGGAAGAGGAGGAGCAGCTGCAGCAGCAGGGGACGAGCATGCAGAAGAGTGCGAGAAAGCAGCAGCAAATAGTTGGCACAAGTTTGCCTTTGGGTATTGCTGCTGGCAGAGCCCTTTTGTTTTGCTTGTGAATGCCCCAGCCGCTCTTTATCAGCGCTTGCCACATGCGGCCGCATGGAAACTAACTCATTTGACGACAATATGCAAACGATTCGAAGATTTCACTCAAACTCACTGACTTTTCCACTGTTTAAATTTGAAATCTCATTCAAGAGAGAGAGAAAGAGAGAGAGAGAGAGAGAGGGAGCTAGGGAGAGGCAGTGAGGGAGACGAAGCTGCATATCATTGACAGACTGACGTGTGCCTCATATCCGATATCTGCATTACCCACAGTCAAGCAGCAAGTGTGAAATTTGTCTGCTCGTTAAAGCCAAAGCTGCTTCAGCTCTGAATTGGCTGGGACTCTAGATAACAGGCTACTGGAATGGAACGAGCAACGAGCTCATAAAAGCTTTAAGCTCATGTCAAATTTGACATGTGCTTAACTAATGTTTGTTGGCCAACTGCAGCGATTTCTACTTAAGTTAAGATCAATAAATAACAAATCCCATCCAAAAGTCTTTAACTGGAAGGCTCATGTCAAATTTGTCATGTACTTAACTAATATGTCTAGCACTCTGAATGAAATTTGAAAATTAGATCTACATGTATGTATTTAAAAGAATGCATATCTGTTGAAGCTCTAAAGCTGCTTTCAAATTTAACATTTAGTTAAGCATCCAAATCTCTGAGTCAAATTAGACTTAATGTAAGTCCCACAGGTATTCAAAACATAATTTATATTTCATTGCTCAAATTTAAGATGTAGCTAGTTATTTCATGATAATATTGCTCCATCAATTACAACTTCAAACTTAAAATACTAGTAAAAATACTTTTTCGAATGCTAAAAAATTTGGTATTTTAATAATTGGAATATAAAATCTTTAAAATCTTTAAAAAATATATAAAATAATATATAAATAATAAAGAAACTCTCTAGAAAACAATATAAAAATGATCTGCCTCTTGCGATTCACAGTATATATTCAGTATTAAATAGCTAGCAAATAAATACCAGCTGAAAAGCTTTTGCAATCTATCGAATTCGCTTGGAAAACTAAAAATACAATACCAAAAATAGTTAAGTAGTTAGTAACAAAAGATTAATCTATCTCGCTCTCTCGCTCTCTCTCTCTCTCGCATTTACAGTTGAGACTGTAAGTTTCTTTTCGAATATTCATTTGTGGGCTTAATGTGCTTGCATGTTCTTTCAACTCAGCCTCAGCCACAGCTGCGGCCTCAGCTCCAGCTCCAGCTTCACTCTCCCTTTTCATTCATTTGGGCTTATCGAGATGCAAACTGATTTCCATTTCATTCACTCGTTCATTCATCATTCAAATGAGAGGGGCGCGAGAGGAAGTGTTGCCGCCGCATGTAGAAAGGCAAAGAACAGTTAGACGCCAGAAACACGACACAACACACAACGAGACGAACGAGGCAGATGAAGATATCGAGAAATTGTTGAAAGACGACGAGGCAGCAGAAGAAGAAAATACTTGTTAAGCTGCAAATTAACATTTTATGAGGCAGGGCTCAATCGCGTGTTAGCCAAGCTGTAAACGTATCTGTAGCTGTATCTCTATCTGAATTGTAAATGTGTATGTGTGTGTGTGTGTTCTTGTGCCGCATAAAAAAGAAGCTGGCCAAAATCCAATTGACTTGGCCAACAGCTCATAAATTATGCGTTATCAAAGAGTTGGCCGAAAGCGAATAGGGATGGGGACCCGTTCGATTTGTTGGCTTTTATCCACAGCTGTTGACTAACGAAAATACACCTGAGCGGAGTTCAATGAGCAAGTGTGAATTGAATTCAAATGCCAATCGAGCAACCAGATGCAAAAAATGGCTAAACACGACTAAATATATAGCCAAATCTAGTTAGATTTTAAAGCTATAGCTAGACTTCATTTTTTCTAACGAGCTTCGAGCTGAAGCTAAATTCAATCAATCAATTAAGAGGATCCTAAGTTATTATAAAAATTGTTATATATTATTACTATAGATATTGTATAGATATATTAATATAATCCTACAATTTCTTATCTGAATGAAGATCGTTCTCAGGGATCTTCAAATATGTTCCCAAGAATCGTGGAATATATCAATTTAAATCTATAATAACTGAACCGAGGGGTTTTTGTATAAACAACTGTCTTAGACTTGACTTAGAGTCAATTCTCAAGAGAAATACCCTAGAAAGAGTGAGCAAAAAGTGACAGAACACGCCCATAGATCAAATAGTTGTTCGAGTGACATGAACGATGCGATGTGATGTCTGCTTAGGGTGTTGCAGAGCTTGAAAACCAAATGATTTGAGGCCAAGAAAGAAATACACACAGAGAGAGAGAGAGAGAGAGAGAGAGGTAGATACAGGTGTAGCTGTTGCCAACTTGCAACAGATGCGACAACAACAACAACAACTTGGCAAATGGCAAAGCTGTTGCATCGCATTTATGGCCAAGTCGCGTGTTTCTTACCTGTCTCTCTTAATGTTATTTTGCTGTGTGTGTGTGTGCGAGTGTTTTTATGTGTTTGTGTGTGTGTGTGTTTGCGGAATTGAGTTTATTGTGCCACCGCGCGGCGTTCTTTGGTTTGTCGCATCAGCTTGATTAGAATTCGAAGTAGTTAACGGTGCATTTAATGCGCTCCAAGACGGATCAAATGCATTTAACACCGATCTTTTCGCTCAGTGTATGCTCGACTCTCTGTGTGTACATTGTGTTTGCTACGCGTTTTAATGCGATGCGATGCGATTCGATTTGATTTGACTTGATTGATATGTGAACTCATTAGACGCGCATTAAAGTCTAATTATGGGCCATGCACTCAGCGAAATAACTGGAGAGATATAAGCTAACATCATTTTATAGGATTTGTGTTAGGGGAATTTCTAAATAATATATTTGTTGATTCCAGCTAAAATAGAACCAGCTATTTTTTACTTTAATGTGAAGACTTAGTTGATTTCCAATCAGAAAAAATATTGACTAGACTATATAAAATCTTGGAATTTTGTCAACTTTTCTAGATTGGGATTCAAAGGAATCTCACAAGGCATAACATTTAGTTAAGGTAATATTTAGATAATCAAGTAGTTTAGCATTTTGGCCTGAAGGACGTACAACTTTTTAAGCAACACTCGCGCACATCACAGTGTATAATTGATATAACGGTTAATGTTAGCATTCTCTTGTATAATTGGCGTTGCCAACATACATTAACAAGCGCTGCAATCGCTGGCAGCACTGCAAGGAGGAGAGCCCTAATGCAGTTATATATGTATACGAGCACACATACATATGTATGTGCATAGGCAATATCAATTAGATCGCTCTTATACTTATGCCCGGGGACTCTTATACTATTTAGCACTTACCGTTGAAAAGCAAATGTCCTCGTTTTTAAGTCTCTGGCGCGCACGCACTTGCCGCTTACTCCTTGAAAGCTGCGCTCAATGAGAGCTTTCTGATATGTCTCTCTCTCTCTCTGTGTGTGTGTGTTTGTGAGTTTGAGTGTATGTGTGTTTGTCACACTAAATTCTTAAGCGAGTGCATAAAATGTACCAGGGAAAAAATGAAAAAGAAGACGAAATAAAAGTAAATCAAATAAATAACGATACGAAAAAAAAAAACAGAAACGAAGAGCTGCTGTTGTAGTCGTAGTAGTAGTAGTAGTCGTAGAAGAAGAAGAACATGCAAGTACGCTGAAGAAGAAGAAGAAGCTGAAGTGAAATCGACACAGCACGTAAAACGTAAACGTAAATAGGAACCAGCCAAGCAGCCAGAGAATACAGCATACAGCATAGTGCTTACTGCTTAACCAGCCAAGCAACTCAGGTGAAATGCGGTGGAGGGGCGGCGGGAGCTGGGTGGCGAGGTGGGTGCGAGGGGAGAGGGCAGACGGGGCTGCCATATCATAAAGTGTTTTTCACATTGAAGAGTTGAAAAGTCCAATGATGATGCCAACTGATTAGTGATTAGTTGCCATTTGACACATAAGCTCGCTCGCTCGCTCGCTCACTCGCTCACTCCCCTCGCACCCGCTTTTATGCGCCATCTCTTTCATTCAGTCGCTCCTCTCTTCTATGTGTGTGCCGTTGTCGCTTGGTATGTGGATCGCAGACGAAGAGAGCAAAAGGAGCCAGCAGCAATACAGATGCAGGTGCAGGCACATGACTATGTGTGTGTGTGTGTTGTATGTGAATGGAGAATGTGAATGGCATTGGGTAAATTGTCAATAAGTAACGAGAATATGGGAATTTGTGGGGAAGGAGCCGGAGGTAGGAAGGGGGAGGGTACACGATGACAAGCCACTTTTTGTGGGTCGTTTTGATATGTGTGCGTAATGATTTTTATAATATTTGTGGAAACCGGGAAAAACTTTGATTTCGGTTGATTTGTTTTTCTGTTCGATTCTCGATTGAGCAAGCGAGAAAAGCACAGAGGACAGACAACAGACGATAGACGGCAGACGGCAGACGGCTTTTGTGCTAATTGGAAAAAATTAGAAAGCATGAAATGCCGAATCCGTTTGCACCGCAACAGAAGCCTCAATTTCCTAATCCCCTTCGCCGTCTCCGTTCCCCCTATGCAACAGGCTGTGCAACGGTATTTAATGCAAGCTCTTCTTCTTCAATTGGCTTATGTCCTAGTTTGGTCTGATTGGAGTTCAATTGGCATCCTCGCACGCACACAATTCTCGTTTCTGACAACTTTTTGTTGCACAGTAAATAAAATAAATATGTATTTAAAAAAAATAAGAAAAAAATATAAACACCGAAAAAAATACGTTTTTAGTTTACGAGTTTTTCTTTCAATTTTTTTTCTTTTCTTTTTGCTATGCAGTTGTGTTTTTTTTTTAGTGCTTAATTACCCACTCAGGGTTAACTTATGTGTCTGACAACAACAACAATGACAACAGCAACAACAACAATAACACTCACTTCACTCTGTGATCTCCGCTAAATCTCTGTGTGTTTTTTTTCTGTGTGTGTGTGCGTGTATTTGAATAACGGTAATTGCGAAAAGAACAACAGCAAGATACAAAATACAACAAAAAAAAAAGAATTTAATACACTGGCACTGGCGGCACTCGGCGTCTGCAGCTAGAGAGCACGAGACAAAAAACGAGACTCGTTCACGATCCGAGCGGAATTCGGATTTAGTTTCGGAGACTCAGAATCGACTGTTCGGATTCTGTGTTAGATGCGCCAAGCGAGCCAAAGACGTGTGAACTCGTCGAGCGACGAACGCGAAATACACGCGAGCCAGCCAAGATACTTTCTTTGGCCTCGTAATGTAACTGTCGGGAACAGAAGAAGAAATTCAAGACAAGACAAGCACACACACACACAGGCATACACAACCGCACACATACACGCGCACACAAACAGACGAACGCTCGCGCACATAGTAAAATCTGCGGCAGAGTAGAAGCAGCCGCCTGTGACTGGCTGCGCCGGCGCTCTCAACGATATATCGTCGCGCTGACGCCGTTGCTGTCGTCGACAGCGACGCCAACTGCACAAATGAGCACAGCAGAGCAGCCGACGCGTCGCCAGGGCTCAATTAGCACTAGTTGCTCCACAGTTCGTCTGATGTCTAACACCAATATTGCTGAATCATTTGCTAATCGAGCCATACAAAAGGTTACAACGGCAACTTAAGTTTTGGCAGGATCACTTTTGGTGGCAGCTCAGTCGCCGCGGCTCACGCGCACTTGAACTTGAACTTAAGGCGCACAGCGTTCATTACGAGCTAACGGCAGAGGCGGGCAGCAACAGCTAATTTGTTGCTGTTGCTGACAGAGTTGCCAGAATGAAAAATAAGTGCAGCAGGATTTTTTTAGTCTGTGCTTAAATCTATATACGTATGTATCACATTTTTTTTTTCAAATATGTATATTTATTTAACTTTATTTGGATTAATTTATATACTTTCATATAGTTATGGGTATCTTCTACTCTACACCTGTTAAAATCAGCGCCACTGGCAACTCTACTGTCCGCACTCGCTGTGTGCATGTGTGCGTGCGCTGATATTGCTGTGCTTTGTGCGCATGTGTGTGTGCTTGATTCAAAGCGGTTGCTGCTGCTGCGCTTGTGTTTGTGCTTTTCTCCGCATTTGTTGTTAGAGACAGTGCAGTCGCTGCCGCTGCCTCTGCCTCTGCCTTTGCCATTGCCACTGCTTCAGTCTGCAATGATGCTGGCTCTCTTTTGCACACAGACACACTGAGCGGCAACTGGGCGCATTTCAACGGTAAACATCATGAATGCATTTGGAAAGTGGCTCGTGGTGTTTGCATTTTGCATTTCTTCGCATTCTTTTATGTTTATGTGTGGCTGTGGCTGTGGCTTTAGCTTTGCCTGCGGACTGCCAGCCATCGCACAATTGTGCCAGCAACAACAATAACAACAACAGGCGATGCCGAAGACGGCGTTTTCATTTCTCAGAATTGATTGGCCGTCGCGTTCGCATACTACACACGCCAGCTTTTATTTCTTGTTGCATTTTTTTAAGCACTCACTGCTGTGGCTGCTGCTGCCACTGCTGCCACTGCCTCTGTCGCTGTCGACGCTGCCAAGCACCTGTTGTTGTTATGCTGCAGACGCTGCTGAGACGTCTGCTGGCCAGTTATTTTTCGCTCTGTGTCTGTGCCTTTGCCTTTGCGATTCTGATTAAATAACGTTTGACTTGGCGGGCGTCGACATCGTCTGCGTTGTCTACGCTTTCGTCTTTGTCTGCGTCCTCGTCACCTACCATGTTTATGCGACACACACACACACGCACACATAGGCGTATGACACACATGCATATCCCCGTATGCAACAGGCAGTGCCCGTTATGAACTGCCAGATAACAACTGTCATTTTGTATAATTCTTCTTCTTCTGCTGTTTTTTGTTTTTTTGTTACTGTTGTTTACGCTTGGTTAGGTGGCAACACTTGTCGTCGCATTCACATGGAAATGGCGTCTGCCTCTCATTGATCTATTTAAGCTCTAATTTCAACAAATTAAAATTTTCTTTTCTATAATCTTTATATAAGGAACATGAAGGCATATGAAAGTTGAGCTTTGATTGTTTCGAGAGCTTTTGTTAAATTATTTTTGAATATATCATTTTATAGCCATGACTGTGATGTCATAGGAATAACGGTACCCTCTAAAGCTTAACTGAAGACTCTAGCATGCTATTTATTGCATTAGATTATTCGGATGGCTTTGATACGGATATGGACATGGATATGAATAGATTGGGTTACAATACTATTTTTAGAGAGCATTAAGAGTTAATAAAGCTTAATAATAATAATAACGCTATATATACTTTTAAAATAATTCGGAAGCAATTTGATTTTCGTCTTTGAAACTTGGATATATAGTATGTTTAATAAGATTTGCCAGACTTTCTGTTAAATATTCAGAAAAACTGAATTTAATAGCTATTTGAATGCAATAGGATAGCATTTGTCTTTAATATATCTTAAAGTTTATTCACAAATCTGTTTAATATTATCATAATATTAACTATTTAATATTATATTGAGCTCAATCGAGTTGCCATACTACATTAGAACTTTAGAAAAAATATGATGGGTCTTTGAATGAAAACTTATAAAGAGTCGAGCATTCTTAGCATATTTCAATATAAATTCTTTTCAAGGTCAATGCGTTGAAATATTGATATTATAACAATATAAGATTATAGAAATCGGATACCAATACGAAAACATAAATGTTTATTTATATGACTAGATGAGCTTATACATATATCATATGTATGTACTCATATAGACAGTGTTACCACACTGCATTTGGCTCAATTCTAAAAAATGTTTGACTACGTTATTGTATGATGATATGTAAGCCTACTTGAATTCTTTATATAGATAAGTAAATAAACCTATATATAGCTGAACAGCGTTGCCATACTGTTGAAAGATGAGTGCAATACTGGCGGATGCTTGATTAGCTTATATAAAATGATGTAAATATATGTAGAATACAAGAGATGAAAGTATGTATGTACATGTATGTAGCTCAAAGCGTAACCATTGTTGAATAGCGTTGCCACACTGTAAGAATGTGGATGTTTGATGAAGTTATTAGAAATATTTGCCACAACTGAAAGCGGCGACAATTTATTGTGATTATTAATTGGGCTCATAGAGTATGTGCATACATACATACATACATACATATATGAGTACGAGTTTCTATAGAGTTGAGCAGCGTTGCCACACAGCTGAAATGGCGTAAATGCAGCGTCTAAACGCTGCATCCGTTCGCTTCATTAGCTGTACATGGGCGCGCCATGCCACACGGGGGCAAACTGGGCAACTGGGCAACAATGTTGCTGCTGCTGCTGGTGCTGGTGGTGCTGGTGGTGTTGTTGCTGCAACATGGGCAACAGTTGTCGCTGCGCGCATTGGTCATCAACGGGCAACTGTTTTGCTCGTTCAGCTCGTTCTCGTTCCTCTGTTTGATTCTGTGCACATTCTCATTCTCAGTCCCCGAGTCCAAATCTCAGTCCCAGCCCCAGTCCCAGTCCCAGTCCCAGTCCCAGTCCCCGTCTCAGTCTAAGTCTCATTCTCATTCCCATTCCACGCATGCGCAGTCTACTTTTCAATTTGGCATCATCAGCAACAGTTGCTGGTGCTGCCTGCTGCTGCTGCCTGCTGCTGCTGCTGCCTGCTGCTGCTGTTGTTGTCTTTCATTTCTTGTCTTGTTTCAGCTGGCGTGTAAATCTATTAACGTCGCCTCGTTCTATGACTGGCAACGCATCATTGTAATTCCTCAGCTCACTTGCTGCTCCTGTTGCCAATTGCCCGTTGCCAGTTGGCAGCAACTGTTGCCAGTTTAGAAGTTGGCATTGCGATCGCCTCGTGCCAATTTGCCTAAGTCGTCTGTTTAACTATTTTTGCCATTTGCCGTTTGTCGTTTTGCCGTTCTCCTCTTGGCCAGTTGATGTTGATGTGATGCTGCTCCATTTGGACGTGCGACTTTTATCTCTTCTATTTTATTTCATGGCACGTCGCTTGTGGGGCGTCCTCTTCAGTATGTTGTTGTTGTTGTTGTTGTTGTTGTTGCTGTTGTCTCGATTGTTGTTGTGCTTGTTGCCCAGTTAGCAGTCAGTCAACGTAGACGAGCGCCACCTGCTTCCCCAATTGCTGTCTCTTCAATCTATTTGCATAGCAGTTACAAAGAGAAACACACACACAGACACACATGCACACACACAGCGCCTAATTTGTGGCCCATTGTGGGTCAACAGACGCGAACCTCAATAGACGAGCGCCTTTTGGCTGGGCCATGATTGATGAACGACAGCTCGCTGCCTCTTAATTGCCGCGACATTAGGCCCACACTAGACATGCCGTTTGCCACGCCCCCCATAGAAAAACGAACACGAAAACCAGAAAAAAAACAAGGTAGGCAAAAAAATAAAAATAAAAACACAACAAAACAAAAACTGAAATGAGACAAGGGCCGGGGCGGAGGCCGAGCTGTACGGGCATGTGCTGCAGTCTATTAAGTATAGATTAGATGCAAGCGTATTTAGATTGATGAAGCGGAGATCCCGAGATAAACGAGAGCTGAGATAAGAAAGTTGAAAAATGTTAGCTAAATACAAGCTAGATTTAACAACTATCTTAGAGAAGTGAAGATATAAATAAATTGGATTGAAACTAATTAGGAAGAAACCAAGATAAATGCGAGTTGGACTCTAAGATAGTTAAGAAAATCTAAGATGAATTAAAGTTTGATTTGAGATATAAAAATATTCAGAGAAAATATATAAATAAGACTGTTCAAATAATTAGATAAGATTAAAGTAAATCAAAGATAAATACTGGATAGTTGCCAAGATAGTTTGACAAAGGAAAGATAAGTAAGGATATGTTGGATTAAAGACAATTCCGGAAATGATAGATGAAAAGAAGATGTATTAAAGGTTGTTGAGCCAAGTCAAAATAAACTCCAATTTTGAGTATTAAAGTATGAAAATCTTATATGATTGCCACTTAGATTCAATTTGTAATCTTAATATAACTTGCATTCATATCGGACTTTCCTATCTATTTAAGAATTAAAGACAAATTTAAACTACATTCCAAGACGGTTAAAACTCTTGTGCAAATTGGAGGGTATATATTTAGGAAAATCAGAAAATAGAAAAAAACAGAGATAAATATAATAGTAATTGGAGGATTATAGATTTTAGAAGACAAAAAAGTGAAAGAAAATTCGGAGATAAATGAAGGTTTGATATTGATAGTTGGGAAATTAAAGAAAACTGATCCAAAATAAATTAAATGAATTGGTCAACCATAACAAATGGAACTTGTAAAGCCTTCCAATTGTCTTAACTCGTTTAGTTAAACGATTTTTTATGAGGTATTTGAGTAATTTTTTCTAAAAGTTCGATAGAATTATAAATGTTTGAATCTTTTTGGTAAAATATTATTTTTCAAAAAATTCAAAAATTTAGATTCTGAACTCAGTTTGATAAATTTGCAGAGTAACGAATTTACGTGCTCTCGCGCCCACTGTGCGCGTGCACTGCATTCGAATGGTTCCACTGTGCGTGCTGAGCAATGGAAATGGCACCGAGACTTGGTCTGGGAGTGGGACTCGGACTGGGACTTGAACTGAGACTTGGACTGGGGACTGGGAGTTGGTCTGGCAGTTGTTATTTGGTTATCTGTCCAAGCCATATAAGTCGACAAATGCGCAGTTAGGCCGTGCTCCATGGCCAATGCCTGATGCCTGATGCCTGATGCCAGATGCTGCATGCTGGATGGCAATGACAACGTGTGTGTTACGTACTCGCATTTATGATTGGCAGCTGTGCTTGATGGTGGGTGCGGATGCTGGTGGTGGTGGTGGTGCTGCTGCTGCCGCTAGACGCAGTCGCTCAGACTGTGGCGCAAACACCGTTTGGCTGTATAAATAAAAAGCGTACTTACGATTCCAGATGCAGCGTTGCAGTTGGAATGCGTTTAGCGGCGACTCGGCTCAGGTCCCCAAGAGTACCAAGCGCTACCGCCCCGCCTCCTCTTTGACCACCCGCCCGTCGGCTGTGTGCCCCCCCCGCGCACCACAACTCAGCCACACAGCGGGGCAATGTCAAGAATGTTAATGCAGCGGCAGCAGCTATCGACAATGACAACGTCGACGAGGCAGCAGCGCAGCAGAGAAACGAGATTTGATGGACTATGCGATACCCTGGCAAACGAGAGACTCTAATTTGCAAAGTTGCAAAGCTTCAATATGGCTTTGTCAGAGCTTTAAGATTCACAAAAGCTTGAGTGTATTTATATAGATTTTTATATAATTAATATTTTGCATAATTTATAGAGTTATTTATTTTTTTGTAAAAATATGTCTTACAGTATAGTAATAATTATATATAATTCTAATATGATTTTTTGTTGTCTTCCATTTTCTTTCAGAAATCACAAAATTCTGAAGAACTACTAAAAATTGTTTATATTATAATATTAAATACTGAAGAATACTAAAACAGCGCTATAAGCCAGCTCTAATCACATCCGATACTCAAATTGACGTCCTGAACAATGAGTTTCAATTAGACGAGCATACCCCAGCTGCTTGCACATGCTCTCTACAGGGTATAACAAGAACAACAAGTATAGAAATGAGGACAAACATTTACTTAATCCATTTCCAATGCAATTGCTCTCGTTCCCGTTCCCGTTCCCGTTCCCGTTCCCGCTCCCGTGCCCATTCCAATTCCCATTCCCGTTCCCATTGGTTATTGCCATAGTCGCTCCCATTGACGTTCCCGTTCCTTGTAGAATTCATCCAGTTTTTGTCTTTGTTTTGTTTTGTTTTGTTTTTTTTTGTCGCTTCGTTTGTCTCTTCTTCTTCTATTTGCTTAATACAAAACGTAGAACCACATAGAGCTAGATAGTAGGGGCTACAGTTACTTAGAGCTAATTTCCTGCCCGTTGGCAGCTGAGGATTGCCGTTTGGCCTTGGACTTGGTCTGCTCCGGTAGAAAGTATGCCATGACGGTAAGAACGACCACGAAGCCGAGCAGTGTCCAGAAGGTGGCGTCGCAGCTGCTAAACAGCAAATTGCCCAGCACATTGCTGCCCACCACAGCGCCGAGTCGGCCCACCATCATGATGAAGCACATGCCCATCGCATTGATCTGCGTCGGATAGAAGTCCATGGCGATGGTGCTGACCAGTCCCCCGCAGTTGCCAATGGCCATGGCCAGGGTCACCGCAATCACTATCAGGATGAATTCCCGTAGCCAATGGAGCAGAGCCAAGCACACGACTGTCAGCACCATCCAGGCCACTGCAAGGAGAGAGAACGAGAGAGAGAGAGGAAAAGATTAGATATAGTAAAATAAAGAAATAAGAGTGAGAAGAGAGAAGAGAGATGGAGACAAAATGAGGGAGAGTGAAAGAGGAAGAGCGAGAGGGATACAGAGGGAAAGTGATGCAGAAAATTTAAGATAAAAGAAGAAGAGGGAAACACAGAGAGAGAGAGAGAGAGAAAGAGAGAACGAGAGAGAGATAGTGGGAGAGAACGAGAGAGATATAGAGGGAGAGAACGAGAGAGAGAGAGAGAGATCGAGATAGAGGAAGAGAGAAAGATATAGGGGAGAAGAGACCGATATAGAGGGAAACAGAATGAGAGAAAGTGAGAGAACAGGAAGTTAAGTGAGATGAGAAGAGAAAAAGATGATAAGAAAAAAAATAGGGCAGATAAAGCTGGGGAATCTTTAAGAAAGAGACAACAAAAGAAAGAAAGTAAATTATAGTAAGAAAGAAAGTGAAGAAAGATGAGAGAAATTAAGAGAGATAGACGGAGAAAAATGAAGGGAGAGATGGACGGGAGTTTTTCGGAAAGTTTCTCACATTGCTTTCCTTTGATATAATCCCACTCATATGTTAAGCTATGCGGAACTACCTATGTTCTCAAAACCAGACCTTCTCTATCTAATATTCTCGCTCAGAGGTAAAGTTATACTAGGATTAAAGATATAGTCTTAGGTAACTACAAATTGCAATTGATATTCAGCAGTCAGATGAAAATTGAAATAGGCGAACTATGCCTGGTATACTCACTCAATAGGTTCCGCTTGCCAATCATATCGATGGTGTAGGCGAAGATTAAATAGATGACCGTGAAGGCGGCTCCAATGGTGATCATCACCAGGTAGGTACTGACGTCAGCCTTCATGGCGCAGGTGCCATTCTCGGCGGGATCCGGTTCGGTATTGAAGTTCTGCAGGACGGTGCAGAGGAGTGCGCCGTGGGAGCTCTCCTCGCCCAGTTCGTTGAGTATGGTGGGGAACCACATGAAGATGCCCTGGGCGATGCCATAGATGACGAACTGCATGCCGCAGATGTTGAGCGTGTGGAAGACGCGAGAGCGATGGAACAGCGGCACCGTCTGCTGCCAAATGAGACGCAGCGCGTCACAGACGCTGTGCACATTGGACAGGCTGGCGCCGCCGACCTCCGGGGCCAGGCACTCCACGGGATATTCGCTGGCGGGCCGGCCCGAATTGTAAACGTAAATCTTGCGCAGCGTCTCCAGCGCCTCATCGGTGCGTCCGTGAACCAACAAATACTTGGGCGTCTCGGGCACCGTCAGCAGACCAACAAAGGCCAGCAGCGCAACGGAGACGTCAGCGATGAGGAACAAGCGCCACGAGGCTACGTTCACGCCCAGCATCGAGCCACTCAACTCTAGGGGCAGGATGCCGATGGCCATTGCTAAAAGAGGGCAAAGCAGGTGAGAGAGAGAGAGCGAGAGAGAGAGAGCGAGAGAGAGAGAATAAGAGAGAAGACGTATCAGGATCTGGTGAGTCTTACCTGGTGCAAACATTATGGCAATGCACAAGAAGCAGGAGAGCAGCGTGACATGTCGAACTCGTGTTCGGTTGCCATGGAACTCGCCGCACAGACTGAACACGCACGCCTGTCCGCCGGAGATGAAGAAGCCCGTCAGGAAACGGAAGGCGATCAGCATCCAGATGTTCACCGAAAAGGCCGAAATGATCGAGGTGATGGCGCTTAGGAGCATCGCTAAGCGCAACGTCGTGACGCGACCCCAGGTATCGGCCAGAAAGCCCACGGCATGGGAGCTGAGCACAACGCCCAGAAATCCGGCCGAGGCGAGTATGCCCTGCTGATCCAGCGTGGCCTGCAGGTCGCATTTGACCAGGGGCATGATCAGGCTAACGCCCATTATCTCCACCATGACGGCCATGAAGCAGAGCCCGCTGACGAGCAACAGCTTCAGATGGAAAAGTCCGTGGCCCGTCAACGTGATGGCCTCCTCGAAGCTGTATTCGCGTGTGTCCAACGACTTGCGCTTGCTCACCGCAGTGTCTGCAATACAGAGTCGCCCATCAATCACGCGTCAATCAGAGTGCCAATCAGTCGACACAAGTCGAAACTCATTTGCATAATTGGCAGTGCCTTAAGTAGGGGCAGCGCAATGCGCTCCTCGAACAGTCGGTGTTGTCATGTCGGAGGAAAGCGCAGATCCGGCTGCTGACTTGTCGGACGATGTGCGTCTGCCCAAGGACCAGCCGCCGGCGGCCTTCTTTGAGTCGAAAACGTTTCGACTAATCTCGCTCGTCCTCTATCTGGGCGGCATTAGCGGCCTGGGCATGGTGCTGGCCCTCTACTATCTGATCTTCTTCGATTCCGGCATGCCGGACATTCATCTCAAGTTCCCCGTCTCGATTGGCGGCCAGCCGGTGCAGAAAGTGCACGAGTACCAATAGCCGGTGAGTCCCACCCAAGTCGACCCCAGTCCCAGTCCCAAGCCCCAGTCCAAGCCCCAGTCCAAGCCAACCCATACCCTAGGCAAACACAGCCCTCAGTCGGACACATTTGAAACTGACCACTGTCGCTTGCCTAATTGGATTTGCCATTCGGACAATGGCTAGAGCGAATTGAATTGCTCGACCTGTCTATACCCTGTAATGGCAAAACCAGTCGAGTGAGTGAGATCATATTATAAGTAACCAAGAAATGCACAAAGCTTTTATGAATTGAAAAAGTTAGTTTAGAAGTGCATGTTAAGTACATGTGAAGTCCATGTTAAATATTTAACAGGCACACATATATATTCTCTAATAAAATTTAAATTAAAAATGTTTACAGTATTGTTTAAAAATCACAGACTCAATAGCTTATATACGTGTGTATGTATATGTAGTATTTTATTCAGGTTTTAACGCTTTTTCCTAGAGGTTATACCCATTTATTTTGAAGAAATGGTATTTGTGCTATTTTCATTCAGATTGTCATCGGGGTTTTTCCTTAGGCGGGGCATCTTTTCTATAAGAAAACTTGCAATTGCATCTTGCAGTGGCCGACTAACAGATACCCTGTACACAGTATACACGTTCGCTGGATATTTTATAAACAGGCAAGAGTTCGGATCCATTTAGGCATGTTGAATTGGACTGGGCTCATAAGCTGGATTAGCTAGACTAACTCCCCAAAGAAAACTCGCTGCTGTCTGCAACAAATACTGTGGCGAAAACAATATACCCATCATTAAGTACTTGGTACAGGGTATATAGAAAAACAAATGACGACAACGTCGACAACAAATCAAACCAGGTCAAGTGGCCAAAGCATAGAGCACGTGATGTGGTTGAGTGAGGGGCTAGCTGAATATGGGCATGAGGAGGAGGAGGAGGAGGAGGCCAGGTGGGTTGGTGGTTAGTTGGCTTACAGGTGGAGGGTAGAAGATTCGAGGCAGCTACAGTGCTGAATCTTATTAGTGTGGCGGTCAAGACGCTGCCTTCATCAGCGGAGCACGCTCGACTCGGACACGACCGAGGCGGCCCGGGGCAGCGCGAGGGCAGCGGCAGCCGCAGCAACAGCGGCAGAAGAAGAAGAAGAAGAAGAAGCGAAAAACCGCAAAATTAAACACATGAAATGCAAATTAGCAGCAAATGCGACCGGCAGTCGCACGCCTCGATTCAGTAGCCCTCCAGAAACGCCGAGCCGTGGAAGAGCGCCGAGTTCGAACGGGTTTCGATTAGTTCGAAAATATAATTACATATATAGACATACATATAGTTAAATATATAATAACTGGATATCATGTCCGCGCCCACGCTGAATCTGGCCGCCATTGTCAAGGAGGCAAAGGACGAGGAGATCCAAGTGCCCAAATCGAACGATTTCTTCGAGTCGAAAACCTTCCGCCTGCTCACCCTGGTGCTCTATATGGGCGGTGTCAGCGGCATGGGTCTAACCCTGGCCATGTACTATCTGTTCATCTGGGACTCGCGTATGCCGCCGCTGCCCATCTTCAAGCATACGCATCCCATTGGCTAGACGGAGGACACATGGACGACGGCATCAAACACCAAACTCTACTCTCTTCCTCTTTAATTTTTTTCTTTTTTGGGTAAGTCTCTTGTGGAGGGAGGGAAGGTGTCTTAGGGCACCGTCCCTGACACCGCCCCGCTTTCACTTTGTTTTGACCTGCGCTGTATGCTAAACACACGGATTAATCGAGTACGTGGGCGTGGCAGGGCTGCTCATCCAATGCGAAATGCAATTCAATGAGCCGTGGTGGGGTCGGCTCTGGGGCGAGGGACCCTGTCCGGTCTGCATTTGATATACAAGTGAATACGAACGAAATACAAAATAAAAATTGACAGGCACGCAGAAAACTAATCCGCTTTAGCACCTACTGGGCTAGCCAGCTCAGCGCCACTGCGTCGCTGGCGTCCGATTTTGATTTAATCGACGTCGACGTCAATCAAATGAAATCAGTAATCGGTGCGACGCACAGCTAGCCGGGCCAAAGAGACCCTCGATTCACTGGGCCATAGAGCGCAGAGCGGAGATATCTGAAATTTCAGCATGCCAGCCGAAATCCCAGCCAGCGCTAACTTGGCCAAGATTATCAATATCATTGGCTCGAATGTGCGCGAAATGCCATCAGAGCCGGCGAGCGAGCCACCACCAGCAGCACCACGTGAGGCGATCTCCCCCATCGGCAGCTCACGGAGTGTGCGTCTCGCCAGCAGCGGAACCCCTCGCCGGGCCGCCTACTGCTATGTGCCCAAGTCGCCGCAGCTGGAGGAGATTGTGTTCGCCGAGCCGACATGCTCGGAGCGATTCGCCCGCTACTTTGTGCTGGTCATCTATCTGTGCGGTCTCTGCAGTCTCGGCTTCTTTCTCTCCATCTATCACCTCTTCTTCTGGGACTCGCGCATGCCGCCCGTCTTCAAGGGCCAAAAGAAGCCGCCGGCCTTTGGCTAATTGCTAGCTAGCTGACCACGTTGGTAAGTGCATGGCGGGCGGGCGAGGAAGAGTGTGGTGAGACAAGCAAACTCTACCTTTTTCTTATAGATAGATATAGATACTTTGCTTAGATCTATAAGAGGGATAAATGAAGGGGTCTGAAGAGGTAGAGATGGAAGATTGATCAACTTTAGCGCCATATATGGGGTCAAGGGAAAGAGGCAGATGATGGGGAAACTATGTAAGAATACTGCACTATCGCATCGGGCTACCCTAGTTCACATTAGACTAAAATTAAGACCATTGCACAATTTGTATATAGAATCTATATAGAAATTTGAGCTGATTTATATATGGAAATTTGTGCCTATAAGGGAGATCTTTACTAACAGATTTTTTTAATCAAGAGAAATTTTGCATGAGTAGTGCAAATGAGGAGCACAAAACTTCTTCAAAAGTCTCTGTAGTTGTATTCTTAAATTTACTTCGGTTTTTAAAGGAGTGAGAGAGAGAGAGAGAGAATGAGAGATATTGTGTGTATACAGGGTATCTGCTAGTCGTGCATCAACAACTCCAGCAAACTCCTATTTTACTTTACTTTACAATCTGCTTGATTGATGGTAACTCTCAATTGCGTATAAGAGTGACTTATACGCAACAGCGATACCGTTAGTTGCCGTTAAAGCGTCGACTATTTTTGAGTTTGTTTGCCATTCAAGGTGGCGCGACACCTGCGAAGAATCCTTGAGGGCCATTTGCAAACAATGTTGCACTCGCTGTAGCTGGGCAACCGGAATGGGCGGAGGGGGCTGGAATGGGCTCTGAATGGAGGGAGGGAGGTAGGTAATGGAGGTAGAGTGGCTGAGGCACTGGGCGTTTGGCCTACATTCGCGCCAGCCACATGATGAATGTGTGCGCGAGAGTGTATGCCTATGTGTGTGTGTGTGTGCCTGTGTGTGTGTCTGTGTGTCTCGCTTATACAACAAAATCAATGGCCAACCGCTGCAATCGTTCGATGCCCGCTCTCGGTCTCGCTCTCTCACGCGGCCACTCTCTGGCGCGCACCCTCTCTCTCAGTTTCTGTCTCTGTCATTCCCTCTCTCCATCTCTGTCTCGCGCGCGCAGTTGCATTCGTTTCGTTGTCCTAGTGACCTAGTTGCAGATTATTAACCTCCAGTTAACGACAAACGGATTTGCCGAATTGAAATGGAAAACAAGTAAAAGTTTTACACAATGCACAAAGGATATACTCACCGTATACCCTGTAAAAGCTAATTACTAGGGGCAGGTGGCGTAGGGCTAGACATAATAGAGTAGAAGAGTGTAAGAGTACAAGAGTTTACAAAGATCTAAAAATATAGAGCGAAGCTCTAGTCTATGCACAAGAGTTTTCGATGATCGCTATGTTAAGAATGTTATTTAACAGAGCTTTAACAGATCAGATTTGCATCATGTCATAGCTCATACAAGAGTTGTGGCATATCTTCTGAAGCTGCAGCCGAAACTACTCTCTATCCTCCAGTTTGTAGGGCATTGAAAAGCAATAAAGCAGCGCATGGCGCTTGCTGGCGAAAGGTGCGCATGGGGCAGGTGCTGGTGCGGTTGCAGGACATCCCAGCAGCGAAAGTTTCCCACACACACACACATGCAGACAGACAGAGATAGACACCTACATATACTTATACGCAACAGTATAGTTGAATTCGCCTTGCCCACTGTTGTCCTTCGCACACAGCCGTCTGCGAAGGTTGTCCGGACACGGTCACACTCAAAAGTCAGATGCAGCGCAGCGACTGCAACGACTGCAGCAACTGCAGCGCTTGCAGCGCCGCTGCCCCGCTAGATGGCGGAGGATGCCAATTAAATTGTCGAAATGTCTGGAACATGATTTCATTTGAATTATGGACGAATGCGCGCTTCGTTGAGTTTTTTCTTCAGTTTCTTAAATTATTTATTTATTAATCATCTATTTTTGCGGTCAAATTGAGGCGCGCATTTGTATTTCCGCGTGCAATAAACAACAAAAACGAGCGTGGGCGTGAACGTGGGCGTTGCGCTCTTGACACATAAAGCAGTGACAGGGCCTCAAGACGTGCCGATATGCTGCCTCAGTCGCTGGCGCTGGCGCTGCCGGCGTCGCTGTTGCAGTCTCAGCTCGCCTGGCTGGCTGACTGACTGCCTATGTTTTTGTTTTGGAATGCCAGCGACGCGTGCCAGTTGCATTTAAAAACAACAGCAACAACAACAGCAACAAAAGCAACAGTAAGACAGCTAACGAGCCGCATCCAGACGTCGCAGCTGACGTCGACGTCGGCAAATTTGTATGTAAATGGAAATAAAGCGAAATGAGCAGAGACAGACAGGCAGGCAGCGAGCGAGCGGCTGACAGCTGGCGTAGAGTAAACAGGCATTTTATGAATGAAATTATATGCGAAAAATGCCGAAAAAGCGCAACGCAATGTAGAGGATCGCAAAGGCTAGAGAGAAAGAGAGCGAGAGAGAGTGAGAGAGTGAGCGAGCGAGAGAGGGAGCCTGAGAGGGAGTGTGAGTCGGGCGACAGGCTGACACGAAGTCTAAGCCGAACGAAACGCAGCAGCAGACGACGAGGAGCAGGCGATGCCGATGACGATGACGATGCCGCGCTGCCGCTGCGAATGGCTCCTGCACCGACAGAGGCAGCAGCTGAAGCAGCACCAGTAGCAGCAGCAGCAGCAGCAGCAGCAAAGGCTCTGCTAACGGCAAAAGCTTTTTGCGCTTGGGCGTCATTTCGCTTGCATTCGCTCGACGCGTCGGTTGGCAGCTTTTTTTTTGGGTGACGGCGACTGTGAGAGCGACGACTGTTCCAACTGGAACTGTCAACAATAACAATAACAAACTACAAGAACTTTGCATTTATGTACAACAACAACAGCAACAACAAGTAGACTAACAAATTGCACTGCCAGAAAGAAGAAGTAAAAAACTTTAAAAACTTTAAATATATACATCGTATGTATATATAGACATATACATATGTATAGAAAATGAAAGTGCATAATAACAATAAATAATTTACAATCAAAAATATATAAAAACCCAGCAACAAAATCAAAAAAGAAAACAATTTGAAAAAAAATAATAGACACAACGAAAATCAAAAGAGAAGCAGAGCAACAAGAACAGTTAGACAACAACGAAAATGAATTCCAAAGTCAATTCGCTGGAGGAGAAAGTGAAACTGCCGCCAACGGAGACAATAAGCCGTTGCTATCAGCCGCAGCAGAGCAACCGTAAGGTCATACGCATCCTAACGGTAGCCGTCTATGTGCTGTGCGTATCGCTGGCGGCCATCATGCTATCGCTCTACTATATTTTCATATGGGATCCGACCATACGGCCCTTCGTCACCAAGGCCAATCAGTGCGGTAAGTGTTTTGGCGGCGACGGCGACGGCGACGGCGTCGGCGGTAGCGGCGACGGCGTCTAACGGCAAATGCCCAAAAATGCCGTTAAATAAGTTAAGGATTAACTGTAACTGAAACTGCACTAGTTTTGCAAAGTATGTGGGAGAGGTGGGGCAGGTGGGGAGGGGCGAAATGTGGGTGCCTTTGGGCAATGGTCAAGTGGACATGGAAAAGAAGGAGGGGTGGGGGTAGGGTTCCGCCACTAAATCAAACTGGGACACAGGCTTTCAACTAGGCTACAGCTAAATTGCATATTACACACACACACACACGCACACACTCGCTGGCACTCACACACACATTAACTAGCTGGAGCAAGAAGTAGATGAGGCGTTATAACAATAACGGTAACGGCTCGGAACGCTTTCGGTTCTCGTGCGGCTCTCGTTGTGCCGGAAGGGCGTGAGAGTTTGCTTGCATGTTCTAGCCGTTCTTCTTCTACTTCGTCTTCGTCTTCATCTTCCTCCTTCCTTCTTCCTTCTCTCCTTGTGTTATTCTTGTTGCTGTTGTCCTTTTACAGTTTTGTAAATCAACTCGAAATTGGGTCAATGGGCTATCTCTCATGCGTGTGTGTGTGTGTGTGTGTGTGTGTGTGTGTGGTGGTAGTGCCTGCATGGCTTTTGCGGTTCAATAAACGCTTTGTCACAACCCATGAAATTGGCTCAGCCCGAAAAATTTGCCCAATGCTTGACCCAACACTAATGCATTATCATAAAGCAGGCCAATGTGTGGTTAGGAAACATCGTTGAAGTACCGTTAAAATTTAGATATCAAATTTTATGGGTCTGCAAGGCGATTGCGGGCAACTCGGAATTGAGTAGTTTATAATATATATTAAAGTTCCACAATACTTATATATTTGTGTATAACTGAATGATAAGAGTCGATAAATAGAGTTAAATAATTTTAATAATTTTATATTTTATAGAGCACTTTGAAGTTAAAAGAGAATTCAAAGCGAATTCATTTACATATATAAGTATAAGCTCGGCTTCTAGAGCTGAATCTATTAACTCTCAGATCATCTTCTATTTACGCACTTATACACACTCTTATACGAGCTCATTTCAGAACACATTTAGCTAGCGTGAAGCTGTAATAAACCAGTTCTGAAGTCCACTCTAGTCAGCCTATATTTGAATGTTTTTAAAAATAGTTTGACCCAGTCTAAGCTGTGCCCACTTAAAGCCATTCCTATTCCACATTTATCTATTAAAGTCAACTGGATATGAGTTCGTACTGACTTTGACTTGAATACAATTTAGAAATGGTAATAAAATCTAGTTTTTTCTTAGTTCATTACAAGGATTGAAATTTTTTCGTTTTGCACTAAAAGCAATAAATTGGGATAGCTTGAGATTCATTTGGAATATTTGTTCAAAAATATATATAGCTGCACAATAAAATTGAACAAAGTCTATGGTAATTTGTTGGGGTTTATTGAAGTTTTAAGAGTTAAGTTTGAGAAAATGGGTGTACTGGCTCACAATAGAATCGATAAGTATCGGTCTTCTATGTGTGACTGTGAGTATGAACTTGACCTATCCAATTAGATAGAAATATTAGTTCTTCGATAAATATAGATTATAATGCAACAGATCGATAATATCGATGCATTTTAAGTGAATCGATAAATATCGATTTGGACTAATTGTTTTTCAAAATAAACTAGACCTGACATGCTACCTCTTCTATGAATACCGTCGATAAATATAGCTGCACGTCAAGCAAACAGATAAATATCAATTATCATTTCGCGATTCGAAGCTTAAAAAACTCCAAGAGCTCATCTGATATCTGATATCTGATATATTCACAAAAATAAGACTCATTGATTGGATCTATTTCCTTTGTATCTGCATAGGAAACAATATAATTAATTATCGTTAACAAATTTTTCGTAAATACACATACATAAATAGCAGCTCTGAAAGTAACAGTTAAACTAATCAGAGAGTAGACTTTGCGGGTATCGCTCTACCTGATTTTTTCTCAACAATATTCCATTTTGCTTGCAGACAAAATTGTGATACCCGAAAAGATTGCCATACGCCTATTAAACTCATCGGAAGTCACCGCAGAGCAGTTCTACAAGCACATCCTCGAACAGTATCGCATCCTGAACCACTTGCAAATGCAGCGCCAGCAGTTCCTGCAGAAGCAGCATCTGCAGCTGCAGCAGCTGGAGGCAAGCAATCGCTTCCAGGAGGTGTTCGCCACGGCCACCATCTACCAGGCGCATCAGCAACCACGTGATCCGCTCCAGAAGTCAAAGGCTCTACAGGCTGCCTCGTCGTTGTCCTCCGCCTCCATCTCCTCCCTCGCCCTGGCCAACAATAGTAGTGGTAGCAGCAGCAGAGACCCGTTTCGCCTAGAGCCAGCAGTGAATGGGGACAGCTCGTTGCACCACCTGCCCCTCGTGCTAGACACTTCACCCCCGGCAGAGGGCAACATTCAGCATGTGAAGCGGAAGACTCATCGTGGCCATTATAAGCACCATCGCAGTCGAGCCGGTGCCAAGAAGCTGGCGGAGCGAACTGGCGGAGCCACTGTAACGGTCAGCACTGCAGCCAGCGAGCAGCCAACGGTGGCTGCACCACTCGGCTACATGGATGCCCCACTCAATCCGGCAGCCGGCACCATCCTGCAGCAGCCGCTGCAGCTTTACACATCCATGCCCATACCGCTCATCCTCAGTCCGAGCAATGGGGAGAAACGCCTATCGCACCACAGCCACAGCCATGCGCACGGCGAGCGGCGCGGCATGGGTGGTGCACAGGCCAGACGACGCGCCACCACAGCCACCGTATCGGGCTACGATGCGCAGACCTACCTCAATCCGTTCCTCACCGGCGAGCTCATCTTCGAGAAGTAAGCAGCTGAGCCACACTCACACTTACACGCACACGCACACATACACACCGACACAGACACACTCACACTCGCTGAGAGATACACGTTGAACATTTGGCCAAAGTTTAGCTAAAGATACTTTACTTTAAGCATCTGGCATCGGCACCGGATGAGATGGGGATCGAGACTCGGACACTGTCATATCACACAGTTATAGCGAGACTTTTACTACTACAACTACAACTACAAATACTTGCACTCTAGCAGATGCATCAGATATGACTATATATATATATATATCACATATACATATATATATATCAGAGTTGGCTTTTCAGATTTCTTTCTAGGCCCAGTTCACACTGAACTCTATATCTAAATGGCAAATGATTTGATATAATTGACCAGCTGCTAAAGTTCCTTGTAAAGCTCATGTTAGTTGTGCTTCTTCACAGAGGAATTGTCAATTGCTGCACTCTTTCGACAAGAGTGGGTCAACAAGTTAACAGAGAGTTGACATATGTTAACAGCCACTTTAACTAGCTTGGTTAATATTTAACAGCTAGTCAAATGAGCAGCTAAATTGAACTTCATGCTCATTTTAGAGCAGATATTGATGTTAAATGGATTTGAAATGGAGTTGCGCTCAAAGAAATTCTAGAACAGCTCTGGTAGAGGTCATAGACGATGCACTGCACGGCACCTAGCGACACCTCCCACTACGTATATACAAATATATACACACCCAGACATATATATATCCAAATATTTCAAAGAAAACAACTATATATATATATATATATTTATATATAGAGGGGCTTTACTTAACATTGATTCCTACAGATATTCTACACACACTCACACTCACACAGAGAGAGACACACTGGCAGCACACGGCGAACGCAATACTCAATAATAGTCATAGATGATACATATATAGTGCATGCGATAGTATCGCATGCGAACGTTAGTTAGGTACTTACTGACATATGTACCTAGACGGGACCCACTCCAATAGAGCGTCACTCACTGCGGCAAGCAAACGACACCCCACCTAGGACACTGCTTTAAGGCAACAACAATAACTAGTTAAAATCGAAAGATATATAGTATATATACATATATGGTATAATCACACTCACTAAATATCACACACATATACATAGCTATACGTATGTATATCACTATATCACTCACGGCATCAAAGATTTCGGAGAGGGTTCGGCTTGGCATGAATATTTCATAGATGGATTACAATTGTTAACGATGTTTATACGATATTTGTATATATAATATAACACCAAGTGCACAGCACACATATAACTAACTACATACCTATATAAGCAGAGAAGAATATTTACATATATGTGGAAACTACAATCTTCAGTTCAGTTACGCATAGAAATTGTGAGTGAACAAATATCAAAGTTCATCCATTTTTTCGCGCTCTCAAAAGTATGCTACAACATTTATATTTACGAAATGGAACTTTCAAATAGTAGTGCGTGTTTTTCTTTTTTTTAAAAACACTCATACGACATATAGAATGTTGGATATGCATATGTATGTAAGCATGTTTTTTTTTTTTTTCTTCAATAAATCTTTTTTGCATTGAGATTTGTGTAGCATCGTAAAGTTATAGTGAGACAAATTTGAAATTGAATGTATACATATATAAATTGCAATTATATTATATATACATATATAATACCGTAGAATTTAGTATCAGCAAAAAGTTTTGATAAAGTGTTTGTTCCTAAAAGAAAATAAATATTTCAATTTCAATTAGGACGAAAAAAAAATATTACTATAAATATTTGGGTAAAGTTGTCATTCGAAAAAAAACTCATTTTGGTCCAAAAAGAAAACTTATTATAATACATAGTAAAAGTTTATATTGAAATTTAGAACAAAAACTATATATGTATATAAAATGTGTACCTTTTCTATATATATATATATATATATATATATATATATATATAATTTTTTTCATGAGTGTTTAGTGTACTTGCATTCTCTATATATACATACATATATACATATATCTCGATTTGAACTTAAATTGTTGTCTTTGCATAGCTGGAGATTTTCTAATTTTTGGTTAAAGCATGCATTATTTTGTGCTCTATATAGTGTACCCCATATATATATTCATCTATATATATATAACATATGGCACATGACACATGATATATGACCTATGACATATGACGTATAACATTTCCATAAACATATACGAGAACTATTTACATATTTGTATAATTGATAAATTGCTGTGGCGCACCTTCATAATAAGAAAAGGAACTGCAAATGCGCACCCCAAAAAAAAAAAAAAAAAAAACAAACACAAAAAAAAAAGAAGCCTTAAGAAATAAACCCTATATCATATACCAAAATCGCAATCAAAAAACCAAAGAAAAACATTATCACAAAAAAAAAAAATGTTTTTACACAAAAAAAAAAAAATCAAGTTGAGGCAAATAATTATAAAAATAAAAACAATATGGCTTTACGACATAGAATTGTATCCTGTAACTGTATTTAAAACTGAGAAAATCATATAAACTGCATATAATATAAATACACAAACACACAGACTCACACTCACACACATATACGTATATGTACTATGTGTGTACTTAGTGGAAAATAAACGAATCATTTTGGCAATAATAAAGCATAGAATGAACTATAAAAAAATAAAAATAAAAAACAAACACAAAAAATCGTTTTCATTAACAATATAAAGTGACAATGAGTCGACAAAGAGATACCCTTGAAACCTCGTTGACTGAAAGTGGAAGGAACATAGTGAAAGATAAGATTGAAAAGAAAGAACTAAAGAAACTTCTTTATCATGCTAGTTCTAAATGTATATAGAACTAATAAATCCATTATATTTAGAATTATCTACTTAAAGAACTATGCAGCGATACTTTTCATATATATAACAAGTCAGTTTGGCTAGTTAATATAGCCCGCCTAAGCACCCCTTACAGAGTATGGACAATCAAAGAATTTCTGTCTTGCTTTAATGAGAATTTAATTAGCTTTACAGCTCACATAAAGCCGATTGTTCTATATTAATTAGTGGAACAGCACCTCGAGTTCTTATCAGCGAAACTTCACTTTTACACAATTTAATTACAAGCAGGCTCGGAACCGAGAAGTGTTTTCTTTTATTAGCTCATTTTTCATGGGGCTTAACTCACCGAACTCGCGATCACAATCTATCACATAGCCCGGATTATCCATGGCACAAGATTACTTATGTCTATATATATAAATATATTCGAAGCACGTAAAAAAAAAAGGGTTCAGAGACTCGAATAATCGCAAAATCACTTGTCAAAGATATACGTCTAGACATATGTCCAAGTATATCTCAATTTTAGATAAGTTGATTTTTCACTGTTGCGACGACTGTCGTTGCCAAAATTCGACTAATACAGCCCGAGAGCAGTCAATGCCACTTTAAGCATAAGCATTTACCATCTGGTAACACGCTCTGCGTTCTATTTGGTATTATTATATGAGCCAATTACAACGGTGTTCTGTAAAGCGATGGATGAAGAGTAGTCAAACACATAAGATAAACAGACGTTCAAAAGTAAAAGTCGCCTTGTTGGGTATGTCAGACGGGTCAGGTAACTCGCTTGCGACATGGGACTAAATGGATGATTGAACAGATCAACTGAGTGATTGATGACCCAGCATCCAATCTGGATTGCATCTATTGACTGACTACTGACTGCTTAACGGATTGATCGATTTATAACTGATTGATTGGTGTATGATTGATGAATGCTTGATGAAGCATTAGTGATCAATTCACCATTGATTGACGATTAATTAATGATTTTTTAGTCATTAATTGGTCATTGATAGGTGATTGATTAGAAATTGATTGATGATTGATGGGTGATATATGAATGATTGATTTCTGAATATTTTCTGGTATACATCTTATATTATATAAGTTGTTTGATTGACTGACTGACTGATTGATTGTTATATATTCTGATTGACTGGATGGACTGATAATGATTGGTTGACTGACTAAAACATTAACCCTAGGAATATGAATCAATTGTATATATAAGAAGTATATATAAGAAACTACCAGAATGATTAAATCGGATTTTATTTTTGAAATGCGAGCAGTAATTTTGCTGTCAAATCAATATTGGATATCGTATAGCAATAAAAATAACTCATTGAAGGTCTTATCTGTTAACCACTCTCCCCCAATGCAGCTAGGGTATTTGAAGATTGGAAAGAACTCTTGGCCAAAATGCCGTAATAATGGTTTAACATGGCGCTATAAAATAACTTAAACAACCCACTCAGATATCGCTAAGAATATCTGCAAGTCAGCGCACGAGTGGGCGTGGCCAGCACCCGCAGTCTCTTGGCAAACGGCGCACGAGGTGCCTGATTAGGCCCCACGACACGTCTAACTAAATATGTATTAGTGCTCAAATAAAAGACGTCAGAACAAATAGGAAACTCCGAATAGTGCAAAGCCTTATCGCAAAGAAATTCTTCTCAAGAGTCGTAATTACAAGTAAAAGATATCCTAGGAATGGATCCTTATTATATATGCAATATATATTTGATTTAAAATTAAAACTAAGCTTGATTTTATTCTAGATTTTGAGTTCTTTATTTACACACTAAAAATTGAGTGATTGCAGTTTGAGTGAATAAATTAAGAATATAAACACAATTTATGAGCCGAACATGGAAAGTGCTTAAATAGATATCAAACAAGCACAGATCGTTACAGAATTAGCCTAGGGGACTAGTAGATATACATATATGTATGTATGTATGTATATCTCTGATCTTTTGATATTTGCACTTGAGAAAATGTTTCAAATTGACATATAAAATATGTTTAACATCTGGTTTATTATATATGCATGTATATACGTATATATGTATATACCCCCTGATTGCTTTAATATACAATGAGTGCATCTATTACACAATTAATTAAAGAAACCTAATCAAAGCAAGCAACAGAAGTGTTGGCAATGCCTTACAATTATATCGTTATATATCGTTGATATACAGCTCTATATATATACATATATACATATGTATGCATATAGGATATACAGACTTTGATTTAGATAAACAATGGTTTTGTTTTTTTTTGTCTATTGATAAACATATCGCTCATCCTCTATCTCGCTTACACTCGCTCTCTCCCTTCCTGTTGCGCTACCTGAAGCTCTTTGTACCTTACTCTTCTTATCTATGGGCACTTTTCGACACATATTCGGACATTATATATGCCTGGATTTATATATATATATGTATATATGTCTAGATTATTATAACTGTCGGCTTAAGCTGGTTTCGTTAATGCTACAATAGAACAAAAGCCAAGTCGTCGTTTACAAATACACAGTTATCTCTCTAATGCAGCAACATAAGTTGGTAACAGCCTTACATAGATCGGCATTATCTTGCTGTATACCAAGCGGTAAAAATTTATGAATCTTTCCTTAGGTTGTCAGCTGAAAAGGCAGATATTAAAGCCCTAGAAGAAGAAGAAGTAGATGAAGCTGGTGAGACAGACGAACTGCTATCTCATTTATCGATCAAAGTTCACGTTAATCAAATGACAAAGAAATCATGCTAGTGTCAAGCTAAACATATGCCGGAATCTGGCAACGCCAGCGCAATGAGGATAAAGTGCCTGTTAAAGTTAATGGCAATTGTTGACAACTGTTTGGCAAATACATTGTGGCTTATAAAATATTTAAAATATTAAAATATTTAAAAACTCACATTCGTTTCTATACAAATCAACGTTTATTAGAAATTTATCCTTTCCATAGTCTAGTTGCAATGTTTCTTGGCATTGCGATCAGTAAATATATTTGTATTTTGGTCTAAAACAGAAAAATAAGTTGAAGAAGGTAAAAAGCCAACTACAAAAACATTAAATAAATGGCCCTTTTAGCTAAACGCTTAAGTTTAAATTGAATTCAAATTAATGAATATAATTAAAATAACATAAAAACTATGATACAAATTAGGGAATTTATAAAAAACGAAAACAGAAAATATTGCAGAAGAGACACGCCCATAGACCGTTACTTGAAAGTTAAATATACAGATATATGCATATACATATATATACCATGTTTAAGCTGGAATTTTTACAGCAGAAAAAGTAGATATATGACGCATCGATGTGCTACGAAAAGCTGCGCTTCAAATGGTTTTCATTTATACAATGGATTTAAAACTATTTGGAAGATATATATATTTATATATATATATATATATATATATCTATATATACGTATATATATATATATACTGTCTATATATATACATATATATGTACAGTTAAACATAGAGCTAGGTGTATGCACACAATTCGAGCAGATCGAAGCTAAAAGCTTCCAACGACTAGGATCAACCAGGGGCTGGGCGGCTACTATTATGCTTTCTCTATTTTGTAAATGTGTGCGTGTGTGTGTTGATTAACTCAAAATAGAAATGAAGCGAGTGAGAGAGAGAGAGAGAGAGAGAGAGAGAGATCTCAGCTTTATGCTAGTGCATAAAGCCAAGCGCCATTGTCCGCAGTCTGCAATCTTCTGCATTTCATTCCAAGGAATTGGTAGATGTTCATCGCGAAGTCTATTTTCATTGGTTGATTGGCTCAAAATTGAAATGGAGGCGCATCACGGCAGGTGTGCGCATCCATTGGCGTTATGACAACGTGCAGGGAGAGCGTATTGCGCTGACTGCCCGTCAAGTGTGGACTCAAGTTGCGGGAGGTCTGCTCCAGTTCGTCGAAGGGCAGCAGATTATCCAAATTGATGACGCGCGCATTATCCGAAAAGTATTCCGTGCGATGCACCACGGTGCGTATGTGCTCAATCTTGTTCTGCACGCCAACAATCAGCACGGCAACCTGCGAATTCGATATTTGCATTAAAGTGCGAATCTCTGGTATGACTGCCGTTTGGGGTATATACGCACCTTGAAGCGTTCCTCGCCAATATTTTTCAGCTGGCACGTAACTCGCAGCCGCACCGTGTTGATCGCATAGCCGGGCACGTCCTCGCCCCAGACCATTTTGGCCTTGTTGTACTTGACGCCACGCGGAAAGAACTCGATTTCCCAGATCATGCAGCCGTCTTAATGGAGAATCAAATTCAATTTTAATAAAGGCAACGATACCAGTTGGAACGATCAACATTTAAATTAGAATGCTTTTATACACTGCATATAATGCATACATGGCCTCTTTGTATTAATAAGGCTCTGTTTCGTAAGCTTCTCTAGTTTAATTATTAAAGAAATATCCATGCTGCTCCACTATCTACTCTACTATTGTCTATTAAAATTAGACTAGAGTGTAGAATCAATCATTCTACTAGTAGAAAAGATCTATGTTCCATTCTACACTACACTTCCATTCCATTCTTCTGTACTCTGTTTTGTTCTAAGTTTCTCACTACTCTTGTCTTTTCTACTCCACCCTACTCTATGTTTCACTCTTCTCTACGTTCCACTCTACACAACGTTCCACTCTACTCTAGTCTTTTTCACTCTACGATTCGCTCTGGCAAGACCATTTCTACTCCGACCTACTCTATGTTTCAATCTACTCTACGTTCCACTCTACTCTAGTCTTTTTCACTCTACGATTCGCTCTACTCTTGCCATTTCTACTCCGACCTACTCTATGTTTCAATCTACTTTACGATCCACCCTACTATACGCTTCACACAACTCTATTCTACTTTACGTTCTACTCTACTCGTGTCCTGTCTACTCTACTCCATTCTCCTCTAGGTTCCACTCTACTCTATGTTCTGGTCCACGTTCTACTCTACTTTTACCTTCTCTACTCTACGTTCTATTCAATAGTTGCATATATGCACATATAGATCGACAACACTCACCGTCCTTGGTCTCCGCAATGTGTCGTTGCGAAAAGAAGCAGGTGACATAGTTTTTGTAGTCCTCGATCTTGTCGAAGTTGTGCACTTTGATGCCAAGGCTCCACGTGTCGTTCCAGTAGAGACGCGGAGTGAATTGCAGTTGGCCGCCTTCAGTTGCGCGAACCTCGCGCACGCGATCTTCCTGCCCGGACTGATAGCTCAGGCCGATGGCGATGCGATCGATCAGAAATTTCTTGTGATATTCCATGAACGGAACGACGAGTGAAAGCTCTCGGGGCGTCATCATGGCGAAGCGTATGTGCATGACAGTTTGCTCGATTAGCTCCATGAAGTTGCTGGCCTTCTTCTCGGCGCTGAGGCCCGGCTGGGCTTCGATTAGCTTACGGCGATGCAGCAGCCACGTCTGCAGGATGCTAAACAGTTTGTACTCGCTGGTGACAACGATGTCGTTCTGCTGCAGCAGCAACTGCAGGATAGCCGGATCCATTTCCACAAAGTCCTTGGACTCGGCCACCAGTTCCAAATTGTTTTTGAGGAAACGCTTCAGCGTTTCGGTGAGATCATTGTGCGTGGGCGTAAACGAGAGCGTATACTGCAGCCAGGAGACCAGGAAGCCATTGGTCGCCGCCTTGGCCACATGCTTCGTCATATAGCCGATGCACAGCTCGATGAGATCCCGCACATTGTACTTGTCGGACAACGCCAGCATTGGCATCACCGTCTGCAGTGTCACCTCGATCTGGCCCACATACAGATACTTGATGAACTGTGGAAACACGGCCGAGCAGCAGGCTTCCTCATGCAGCTCAATCACGTGCTTACTGCACTCGTTCCACTGTGGGTTCATCAGCATCACCTGAAAGACATCGCTGCTCGCACAAAGTATGACGCGGTGCGCCGGATACTCCTTGCCATCCACCAGCAGAACAATGTCCGACATCAGCTGTTCCGCATACATGTGGGCGATCTTATTGAGCACGCTGTTCGGGTCAATCATCTGCTATACGCATAAACGCATACGAAAATATCAGTTTAGATTGATTGTCAAGATTCTGTTTGTGGGATTAGGGGCGGGGACTAGTTGCCATTTGCATACTCACGGTGCTCGCTCCATCTTGAGCTTCGTCTGTTTCCAGGCACTTGCGCCGCTTGGCATCCTGGTCATCGTTGAGGGCTGTGCTGCCCTCTGTGCCATTGGTGGCTGCAGCTGCTGCCGCTGCTGCAGGGGATCCATTGGTACCACTGTTGGGCTCTGCAGCAGCTGGACTAGCGCCCGCACCAGCTGCAGCCGCTGCAACAGCAGGAGCAGCCGCAGCGGCTGCTGCACCACCAGCTGCCGCAGCAGCGCCAGCAACACCAGCGGCTGCTGCTGCTGCTGCAACTCCACCACCACCGCCACCACAGGCAGCAGCTCCACCAGAGGCGGCCACACCGTTACTATTTGCGTTCATAAAAATCTTTGCACTCGCTTCTGTTTACCTCATGGTAAACACAAGCTGACACAAGCTCCGTTACTAGCCCAGGTTCAATTGGTTTGACAACTCTTGCTGAAAGTTTGTGTTCGTCTCGCAGGACATGCCCAATTGGTGAATCTCAGTTTCAAGCAATATAAAACAACAAATTGCGTTTGTGTGACAGTGCCGTGTGACCGTTTTAATTGCACTATAACAAAACCCTGAAAAGCAGTGCACACAAAAATACCGAACGTTAACAAACATTTAGTATCTAGATTAAAATATAAGAAAATCCTGTTTATTAAAAGAAATTTAAAATATTAATTAAAATAAAAAGTACACCTAGAGCGTTCTTCGCACAGGACAAACGTAAGTAATTATCATGAAATATAATATAATAAGTGACTGAAAAAATACCAAAACACAGAGCCAGAAACACTGCCTGGAAGTATTTTAGCGAAGGCAAAAACCAAAATACCAAACGTCAAGAAGCAAATAGTATTTAATATGAAACCGCAATTTTCAAAAAAAAAAAATTAATTTACGTAAAGAACATTAGTAAAAATGATGGGCATTACTTGAAAGGAAACAAAATTGAAAGTGATATTTAAAAAATTAATTTCGAAAGAAACAGTCCTCATATATTGCTTCGTTCAATATAAATGATAAACATTAATTGCCAGATCGCAATCGCAGTGTAATAAAAGATTAAAGTCCTTATTGTCTTTATTGGATTCTTTAATATATATAAATTTTAGGAATTGTTTTAAAACAAGAAATTATAAATGATAAACAACAAAGTGAACAAATTGGTTTTCAATGTCTCAAGTTGAGATCAAATATGCCGGATTTCTACAAATGTATTATGTATATATGCCTATTTCTCTACATCATAATTAATTAATATTAAATTCACGATACAATATCAAAGTTGTCAGAGAAATACATATATTAGTTAAATTGCAATTGAATATTTGGCACATGTGAACAAAACTTTTCAAAACAATACAAAAAAAAAAAAAAAAAGACAAAAAAATACATAGGAAGCTAATGCACAGCAAACAGAATAGGACAGTCACAACACAAACAGATTTACATTTGTGGCGTACATTTAATTGTTTTTGTTTTGATCATTTAATTTTAATTAGATTTTTTAATTATTATTTCTGATTGATTTATGTTCTTTCTATCTTTCTTTTTGTCTAAATGGATGACTACACTTCCCTCACAGAGGCTGCAACTGCATTCCATTTTGTTTATAACATTCGCATGTGATTCCGTATCTGGATTTGTTCACCATTTGATGTAGATGATGTTGGTGTTGGAGCTGGTTTCGGCGTTCATGCTGATGTACAGCTCACAGCTCGTCGTGGCCAATGAACTTCTTGACGTACGCCTGCAGCTCCGGCAGCGAGCGACTGCCCTCGTACTCGTTTTGGCGCTTGCCGTTCTTGTAGAGGAAGAGCGTCGGATAGCCCTCGACCTGCTGGTCGACGCAGATCTCCTTGTTGTCCGGCGAGGTGCAATCGACCTTGGCAATCACAATGCCTACCGTCTCTGTGGCCAGCTGCTCCCAGGTGGGCTGCAGCTTCTGACAATGTCCGCACCACGGCGCATAGAACTTGACGAAGGCAATGCCATCGGCGATGGCCTTCTCGAACTCCTCGCTGCCATTTAGCTGCTGCACCGTTTGCTTCTTGGCCTCATCTTGCGCTTCTTTGGTCGCATCGTCCAGGTCGTTGTTGTTGGTGCTGGGAGCACCGATCATCTTTTCCACGTAGCTCTTCAGCGTGGTCAGGTCACGGGCACCGGCATATTTCTCAATCTTCTTGCCATCCTCGATCCAGAGAAGCGTGGGGTAGCCCTTGACCTCAAAGTCCTGGCAGATGCTGCGATATTGTGTGCAATCGATTTTCGAAATCGTTACATCCGGCTCCTTGATCAGCTCTGTGGCCAGCTCCTCCCAGGTGGGTGCCAGGCGCTGCACAATCGAATGCAATTAATATGTGTTCAGGAGTAAAAGGCAAATGGATTCTCTTACCTGACAATGGCTGCACCAGGGTGCAAAGAACTTGACAAAGTGATTGCCGCTGGACACATGCTTGGCAAACGTGTCCTCGGTCAGGTCAACGACCTTGCCCAAATTGGGATTCTTGTCACCGCCCTCCTGCAGCTGCTGCTCACTGAGGTCCTCCTCGGCTGGTGTATTCAGCTCCTGGTTAATGAAATCCGTAATGGCAGGCAGATCCCGTGTGCCCTTGAATTTGACGGACTCCTTTTCGCCCAGCTTGAAGAGACGCAGCGTCGGATAGCCGGTCACCTGATGGTCGGCGCACAGCGTCTGGTGCTTGGTGCAGTCCACCTTGGCAATGGTCACCTTTGGCTCATCGATGTTCATGATCTCAGCCAGCTGCTCCCACAGCGGGTGCAGACGCTTGCAATGGCCACACCTGAAACGAAAGTTGTACAATCGATTGAGATGTTGTCGAGTTCCCAAAGTCAATTCTTTGTCGAAATTTAATTAAAAGTATTTAAAATCCGTAATAGTTCGATTTTAGCTTTGATTTTAATAGACATAATTATATTGCAAGCCGACAAATCATAAAATCGTTTCGAAACACTTCTACTTACATACATATATTATCGCCTTCATTAAATTAAATTAGCTTTTGTTTAACTATTACAAGTTGCTTTTTTTTTTAAGATAAGAAGTGTGGAAGCTTTGTATGATTGTAGACAAAGCACACTCTATGGATTAGGGGTATAACAAAGCGGGCATCGACCAGTTTTTGAATACAAAGAGCTCATGATATGCGTCTAAATATCTGTATGTCTATATGTAAACGCAGATAACAGCGCCATTGCTGTACGATTGTAAATTTTGAAATCGTATATGCGTGAGCGAATGTGTGTGCGTGTGTGTGTGCGTGTGTGTGTGCATGTGAGTGTGCGTGCTTAGTGTGTGTCAATCAAAGGCACTTCTTGACTTTAGTCAAGCTGAAAAACTAAAATGAAAAAAACCTAAGTGAAAGCCCCTTTGACCGCTCGTAGCGCCCTTATCAAAGTACGTGGTATTTGAAATTAAAAAAAAAAAAAAAAAAAGAGTTTTAATCCTCAATTCGTCACATAAAATATTTATATAGTATAAAGTGTACTTCTATGCTATCGCTAGATTTCGAGTGCGGCATTCGTGACACGAAACCCGAAATTAAAATTAGAATAAGAGGCAATTAAAAATGAGAAAGGGAATAAAAATAACTTCTCATTTTTTAGAAAAATTCTAAAGTCTGGAAGATATCGTGACACGAAAAAAAAAAGTTTAATAAAAGTGGTAGAAGAAAAGAGATAGAGAGAGAGTAAGACATAGAAATATAATTAGCCTCACATTTATTAGCTCTTTGCGTAGATCTATGTATGTCAAAAACATATGTGTGTAAATAATACAAGAAATAATTTCAAGTCGTATAGCGGCAATTTATTTACTTCACTAAGTCAACACAGATGAATTTGCAAGCGTGTGTGCGTGCATCCATATGTGTCAACAAGCAAATGTGTTTTTTGTTTTTGTTTTTCCTATGTTTTCATACGCATGTATGAATGTACGTATCTTTAAGATTGCGTGGCTTTGTCTGCATGCGTGTGTGTGCGTGTGCTTGGTTCACTGCAATTCCATGAAATCTTGCAGAGTTTGCATATTGCTCGATGCGCCAGTTGCGTTTTTTTTTTTCTTTTCGTTTTAAAATTCATTGCTTACCATGGCGCAAAAAATTTCACAAAGACATTGCCGGCTCCGATGGCCTCGTCGAATGTTTCCGGATCGAGTTCAACGGCGAATTGTTTCTCATCGGCCGGCTTTGCTGATTCGTCCGTTGATGCGGCTGCCAAAAATGGCCTGAAGGTGAGCGCACAAATGGCCAGCGGTATAATTGATTTAAACAACATTGTGGAGTGTAGAAAATGTTTGTCTGTCGTCTTTGCACTTATTAAATACACTACACCAAATGTTGGCCGTCTGCGGCAGTGTGACCAGCTTCAGTTGGCACAAGTATTCTAAATTAGCTTGCCGCCTACACAAAATGAACGAACTGCTCCGACTGATATCGATAACTAGTAAAATATATTCGATAAGAAGAGAAGCTTAAAAATATATTTAGGTATTCATTTATTTTGCGTTATTTTTTAAATATTTAATGCAAAACATAAACATTAAAATCCGTATAATTTATATAATCAATGATACATTTAGGAATAATGTATAATATGTATATATGTGTATTTACTTTTTGTTTTAAATAAATATATATATTTTTTTAATTTCAAAATATTAAGAAAGGCCAAAAATTTAGGAAATATGTATATTTAGCACATTCATTAAAAGACATAAAAAATATATTTAAGGTTAAAAAAAAACCGCACACAATATATTACGTGTTTTTAAAACTTCTTTTAAGAAATATATATATTTGCCTAAACAATACATATGTATATAGATTTCTTACAAATTATTTATAATCTGCAATTTTTTCTCTGCATTTTTTATATATATGGGTTCTGCATACGATTCTATTTGTATATATATTTATATGTTTGATGGATCAATCTTTTAGTTCTGTGGATCATCAGCCGAATTTTGAGGATAGCGAGAATCAAATGGGGAGGCATAGATAAAAACAGTCTTCAGAGTATTTGTACCATTTAAAGCGAATGGCACTTGTTTAACTTGTTTACAACAAAAACCAGAAAATAATATACTATTAACAATTAAACAGGATTCTCTTTTTTTTTTTTTGCTTAAAAATCGATTGCAATTTCATCCTTTTTGTTTTGTGGTTTGTTTTTTGATTCTTTTTCAATGCTAAGCATTTAGTATTTGATTTTTAATAACTAAGGGCTCTCAGTAGCTGGAGGCGCCAATCATTTTGCGTATCTGTTCGAAGGACAGCCAGAAGGTGAGTGACCAGGGCGCCATGCGTATCCAGCAGGGCAGGAATCCCTTGTAGAGAGCAACGAAACCCTCCTTGCCAACCGTCTGACGCAGGCAATCCACCGAGCCGCGATAGAGCAAGCCGCTGCAAAATGATATATGGTTAAGAATGGGAGTCGAAGACATTGCTGGAGGTTTTTTGCTTACCGTCCCAGCTCGTCGGTGGGCTGGTTCATGATGCGCGTCTTCACCACATCCGCCGGAGTGCCCATGATGGCAGCCACGAAGCCGGCGCAAATGGAGGCGAGTACATGGACCGTATGGCAGTCGGGCATGTGCAGGCGACGCATGATCAGATGCTTGATCGTGTCGTATGTGGTCAGATCACCCAAATTTACTAGCGCCGCACGCTGCACATTCGGTATGCTGCCCTTCCACAAGCCCTTGATGCCGCCGCGCTGCACAATCTTGCGGAACGCATGCGCGGCTCCATGCACACGCGGCGCCTCGCCCATCAGTCGCCGCTTGCCCTCCATTTGGATTTGAACCTTGACCAGGTCCGCGGGCGACGCCAGCCACTGAGCCACAGCGCCGGCTGTGACGCCGCAGAGAGCCGACTTCCAGACGGGCAGCGCCTGGCTGCCATTCTCGGTTAGCTCCTTGCGCATCAGATCATAGCTGCAGATGCGCACGCCACTGTCAATGGAGGAGGACGAGATTAGTTCAAGCTAGCTGCAACTGGCACATGTGGAGCGAATTTGTCATTTTGGAATGCTTGAGGCAATCGCATCGGATGCTACTTAAAGAGTGGCACAGATCATTTGAATTTCAATAATAGTACTTGGTTTGTAGCTGGTTGGTTCAATTGATTGTTTGAGCAATCGATTGATTGATTGATTGATTGATTGAATGCCCACCTATAGACGACGTGTCGGTAGAGCGCCGGCGTCACGCCCTGCCACAACTTGAGGGCGCCCTCCTCGCGTACAATGCCAAAGGCCGTGGCGACCATGCCGCGATATTGCATCTGGTAATGGGGGGTTGTGGTTCAGTTACATAACATATATATATGTGCAGCTCATATTGTGTATATACATACATATACATATACCTATCCTATACATACACACACACGCATACATACAGGCACATGTACATGTATAGAACGTGGATTCAAGCTTTTGTTTTGTTTTGGTTTTCTTTTTTTTTTTTTTGTCATTTTACGTTCCACATTTAACAAACGCACAGAGAGATGGATTTATGGATATCGGGCAGCTAGTGGGGTAGGTAGGTGGGTGGTTGGTGTTGGTCGATTGGGTTTATGGCAGTCAACTAGTCTGAAGCTCTCTAGAAAACCTTATCTCACGCCCAGATGGACGCTCCCCCCCAAAATAAGAAAAAGAAATGATGACAAAATGAAATGCCAGCACCACATTTATCTTATCAGCATGTTGATAAGACGCATGACTGATCAAAAATAAGAACTTAAAAAAAAAAAAATAATAATAATAATGAAATAAAAAACAATAAATAAATAAATAGGCTAAAATTAAGTTCGGCACGCCGAAGCGCTTATCATGGATTTGAGTATCGATAAGTTATCCTCGCAGGCTGCACAAGACTACGAGTTGTGGACGTTTGTCAACACTGGCAAGCGGATGGACGGATGTCGTTCGATTTGGGTTAACGGTCCTGCAAGGGTAACGGTTGTTAGCAAAAGCCAGGATCAAAAAGATAGCATGCATGAGAGACCAACACAATAACAAACACCAAAATACCAAAAGTATGCAACAAAAAAATATATACCTAAATATGTGCAAAGTACTCACATTCGCTTTGGCGCCGCCGGTGACGCTACTGGTGGCGTTAGCGGTACTGGCAATGGCGGCCACACTGGCCGCTTCGCCTTGGATTTGCAGGCGGGTCTTTGTGAGATCCAGCGGATACGTGGCCAGCTCGGCTACGGAGGCGGCCACCACCGAAACGACATATGTGCAGGCAAACGAGTCCGCATAATCGTACTTAACGGGTCGCAACTGATGGCGCCCACTACTGCTGACGGTGGTGTTTACCGTTGCCGTCGTAGCTGAGGCCGTTGCAGTTGGCGCTGCGGCGTTGGTGCTGGCCTCTGCGCTGGGCACATTGGTCGTGGTTATGGCAGCGGCACTTACTGCAATCGTCTGTGGCGCTGGCATCTCTTCGCTGCAATTGCATTTATTTATTAACAAATTCAATTCAAAATATTGTTCAACTATATAGTTTTGTTGGCTGTTTAAAAATAAACTGTGCAAGCGGCGATGCTGCTGTTGTTACTGCTGCTGCAACTGCGGCTCAAGCCAATAATTGAAAGCGCAAAGATCGCGTGACTTGTTAAGCAATGCAGAGGCTGCTTTGATTTACAGTTCAACTTTTTTCAAGGATGATGCTGTGCGCACAATTGGCTCTTGTATATTTTTACATAACAACGACAACAGCAGCCGCAGCAGCAACAACAAAAACAGGCAGCGGCAACTGCTGCCAACGACGTCAATGTGCGAAGAAACAAAAACAACACAAAAAAGTCGAAAACCAAAATTAGTTTTTGTTGTGTTTGTTATGCTCGCCTTGTTATTCCCGCAGCCCCGCGTATATCGGCGTCTTGTCTTCAATTAAACGCACGACCTGGCCGCGTACGCATTGCAGAATTGATTTGTATGTTTAAAACTGATATTGCTTGTCAGGGTGTGTATTTTTTCTGCTTTACGGCTTTATGAGCGCTTATCAATTGTGCATCAATAAAACAAAAAAATATATATGTGTTGCACAAAAACAAAAACAAACCCAAAACTGAACGCAGTGCTGTAAAACGGTCTGACTGCGTAGGGTAAGTGCTGTATACGAAATAAAAAGCTCAAACTAATTAAAAACTAGTCACAATTAATAAATTTTCAGGTAGCTTCATTTTGTAAAAATTTTTTGTCTCATTGAGGTGATGATGCATTTTCAAATTGCATTATTTATTTTATAGGCAGAATTTTGAAAATCGAGTTAACAGTGCATGTACCGCAGTTTGCGATGTATCGCTTACTATCGATAACGATCGCCGCACAGCGAACAGCTGTTTATGACTTAATTGCTGTTCAAAAACGGGCTCTGCTGTTGCTTGTGTTGCTTTATTTACTATGCACATTGCGTACGTTATTACGCTGATTACTTCATAGCGCAGCTTAGTAACTAAAGCAGCAATCAAACTATATTTGCAATTACCAAATCGAATACCAATTGCAACATCCGATTGCTAAAGGCAGCAACAACAGTATATAAAAAAACAAGAAAAGAACTCGTTAAATGTAAGTAACAATATGGTATGAATCAAAAGCTAATAAGTAATCTATTCATATGTGTGTCTGTGTATGTGTTTATGACGTAGCATGAGCAAGACAGAGACAGCCGCACCCAAAGTGGAGTCGAGCGCACGCCAGAAACTGGAAACGTATCGAGTCTATGTGATCACCTGGAATGTTGGTAGCCGATTCCCGGACAACATTTCGCTGCGTCAGCTGCTGGGCCTGCAAGGCGAAGCCAGCGGCGATGCGGCACAGGAATTGCCCGACATCTATGCAATCGGATTACAGGAGGTGAACGCACAGCCACAGCATCAGGTGCTAGGCCTCTTCAAAGAGGATCCATGGACGCACAAGGCGAAGCACCTGTTGCGCGACTACAACTATGTCGCCGTCAAGACAGAGCAGATGCAGGGCCTGCTGTTGACCATGTTTGTCCGCCGGCCGCATGTTGAGCACCTGAAGGACATCGAGGCGGAGTTTACGCGCACTGGCTTTGGCGGCATCTGGGGCAACAAGGGAGCAGTGAGTGTGCGTTTCACGCTCTACGGCTGTGGCCTGGTGTTTGTGGTGGCCCACTTGGCTGCGCACGATCACCAGCTGGACGAGCGCATCGAGGACTACAAGCAGATTCTTGAGAGCCATCACTACCATGTGAAGCGCTATCGTGAGATCTACGATCACGACTACGTCTTCTGGTTCGGTGATCTCAACTTTCGACTGGAGGGGAACGACAGCGCCACCGAGGTGCGCGACGCCCTTCGCGACGACACCAAGCACGAGGAGCTGCTGCAGCGGGATCAATTGTATCAGGTACGTGAGCGTACGCAAAAGGCATTCCAGGTGTTGCACGAGCGTCTGCCCGCCTTTCCGCCCACATTCAAGTTTAAGGAAGGCACCTCCGAATACGATATGAAGCGCCGGCCTGCATGGACAGATCGCATCATGTACGCCGTGCAGCCGCTCAACCGGCAGCCTGGCATGCAGCTGGCCATTGAGCAGTGCTCCTACAAATCCCACCCCGCCTACAACATCAGCGACCATAAGCCGGTCACCAGCGACTTCACGATCAAGCTGTATCCCAACTATCGTGCACCGGGCATTACATTTAGTCCGGTCTCAGTGTGGAAGATTGGCGACGAGAATACCGTTGAGTACCGCAAGCACGCGGAATTCGAGGAGGGGCCCAACGATTGGATCGCCATCTATGGCATCGACTATGCCAGCCTGGCGGACTATGTGGCCTACGAGTATGTCAACCAGGCTGAGTCGCCCACTTCCTCGGACTCGAATCACGAGAGGGACTACTTTGAGATGCCAGCGCCGACCCCGCATCGTTCCCACCATCATCATCGCAACCGGCAACGATTGCGCCGCCAGCAGGAGGCCAACGAGGAGCTGGTCCGCCTTGACTTCGCCGACGACGTCGACTTGCGCCACGGCGAACAATATGTGCTTATCTACTTCCGCAGCACCGGACTGCGCGGCGTCACCAGCATCGCGCACATCTCCGGCCCCTTTGTGGCCGAGAAGCGCAGCGGATCGCCGCATCGCACCGAGTACCATGTCGACTAGCTAGCGGAGGCCCTCGATATCTATATACTTTAGTCGCAAGATCAAGCACTTAACTCTTATGCCTTAATTTGTTAAACCTTATTCTATCTTATATATACGTATATACATATATACATATGTATATGTACATCATTCGCAATATGATTCATGTGAATGCATTTCTTTTTAACGATCTGTAATTGTCTTCGATCTATGTAAACCTATACATATATGACCATCTATGCTTATACATTTCATTACACGCTACGTGATTTTTATATATGTTTATTATTATTATTTTGTTTGATATATGTACATATATAATTGTTATATAATACACAAATATACGACTACACGATATAGACCAATTGTCAGACTGTTCCCACACATATACACCTGAATACGAATTTGTATATTCGTTTCTTTTATTAAATCGTAATTTTATACATATATATGAATATAATGTATATGTGATACTTATATATATATATATATGTATGTATATATTCATATCCCATATTATAATTCGGCGGCATTTACAAAGCCCTAAGGTTTTCATTACCCAATTTGATATATAATATCATTTTTATATACAGTTTCAACAGATTGTTCGCATATACCAAGGTTTTTCGTATAGTTATATCCAGTTTAAACGTTTTGCTGCTCTTTCTTGAGCTATACATTATTTCTCAAGCAATTCGCATCGCTACTTTTGTATATATGTACATATACATATGTGCCCTAAAAATGATATAGTGCTTACACATACACATATTATATGATATATGATCTGCTTACATAACTCGCTCACTTTTTTCGCGTTATCTCTTTTAATAAAACTTGAGTGTAGTAGACATACAGCTATTATCTGAGCATTACTTGTTGCAGTTCCTAAAATACATTTATCTGCATGTATACCCTGCCTTAAGTGGGCATTATGATTTTCTGTAGAATTTTATATTGGTTTTATGGTATTGTAGATAAGAAATGTTTATAGACTATATTTATATTGAGCAACTATAATAGGCTTTACGTATCTATCTGCTGTTCACAATTTTCTTTAAATATCTGATTGTTATATAAATATACTAAACTTCTCTAAATATTCTGCTTAGTTAATAATGATCGAAGTTCGATGTTAGATGCTCATTATAAAGGAAACACCTATATATACGCATATGTCAGATAGTAGACTGATATAGTGTTCCATATATATATATATATATTAAAAACTAATAGTTATATGCCCAAATATGGTACATTAGCTACTTAAATCTAGAATTAGCGTTCGTTCAGATACTTATAATATAAATATGTATATAGACCTGTCTATGTATGTATGTATATATCAATTGTCGATCTGGATCTCTATTTATAGCATCTAAAGTCTTGAATTTTGGATGTATATATTATAGCAGATGCAGATCAATTTAATACTAAAATAAAAAATCGATTGAAAACTAAAGTAGTTTGATAATTGATTATTTAGATAATCTCAAGAGATTGACTACATAAAGTAAACTCGCCATAACGCCTGCCAGGGTATCTGCTAGTCGATCTCAATTGGCTGACGCATACTTTCCGGTTTCTGCCTTGTTTTCTGCACTGATCTTTATTTATATATATGATGTGCGCTGTCGAAGCATTTGAAGTGCTTTCAAAGGAAACCTGTTTTTGCACTCGTAATCCCCATTAAGTCTAATGACGTCGCAAACGTCTTGCCACACCTGCAGACCCAATTTGCATACGAAAATGATGACAAATTCCCCATGTCCCAAAAATGATAATATATATAATATATAAATATATATATATTTATTTCCAATTGAAAAACATTTAACTTTACTTTTGATTGAGTTTATTGGATGGTTTTTCTTTTTATTTTTTTGTTTTTTATTTATTTTTTTTTTTTTTTAATTTTTAGATAAGAATATTATATATAAATACAAATATAAATATAAATACATGATATATAGTTGCCTGCGCTAGTTAGTCATGACTCTTTTATGCACAAATACGAAATACTAGATAATACACATACATGCTATATAGATATATACACACACTTCCCTATATACATATATATAAATATATATATGAGAGAAAAGCTCATTAAATTATTTGCTCAGTTTTCAGTTTTCGATTTCGTTTAACAATTCTCACATCGAAATTTCGTGCGCAATAAATTTTAAGTAATGCGCAAAGATAGGAAGATCGGAGGGCGGTACGCTCCATAAATAATCATCAAAGATATATGAAAGAAAATATACAAAATATTGCAATTCACTTGACATAATATCTTTTTAATATTTATCAGTTTTTTCTCTATATAATATTTTTTATTTTGCAGACTTTTTCAATTTCAAATTGTTTCGAGCTAAGTTTTTTTCTTCTTTTGGAATACTTGTAAGATATATGTATATATATATATATAAATATATGATATATATTCTGTGTATGTGTATGTAAAAATAATGTGCTTATATATTAGTTATGCTCTACAATATATTCATTGATCAGTTACGTATGATATATATGCATATTTACATACATATATACATATATGATTATTCGAGTAAATGTGTTAATGAAATTTCATGCATCAATTGTTCAATTGTTCAATTACAATAGTTAATACAAAATATATATACACAGTTATATACAATTGACTGTTTGTTCGTAGTATCAGAAATATCTTATAATCGAGTGCTCTATATAAAAAAGTATATATATATATATAAATATATATATATAAGAAATCTAGTTGTATATGTATTCGCTGCCTTTGCCTCAGTCAGTTGGTAATTTAAAAATATTCGTTGTAGTTTCTTTACAAATTGTTTAAAAGAGCGAAGAAAAAACATCAAATAAACAAAATTAAATGTACTTAAATATAGGACGTTCACGGTATAAGAATGCGGAGGGGGAATAGAGGGGAAAATTACTTTTGGCCTGAACACTTTGGAAGTAAATTATACGAATACAGCTAGCATAATACAAATGTTCTTAAACAACTATAAAAAAAATTAGTTTACATTCGGGTTTTTCTATAGTTTTTCTTTTTTGTTGGTTTTCAAAACGCATTTTTAACTTTTTTTGCTCTATCTTCTTTGCATGCGTTTAACGCACTAATAAATTAAAATATTAAAAAATTAAAAAAAAAAAAAAAATGGTTGATAATTGTACTCTTTTTAGTTTCTGCGTTTTTTTTTTTTTTTTTTTTTTTTTTGTAAATGTAAACATAAATACATTTTGTTAAATTAGGGCGGGGTAAGGGCATTTGCAAGTCGTACAACTGCAACAGCTGAGCAAAGCTGATCTGGCAGCTCTGCGCGCAGGTCTGGCAACTGCACCAACTTAACTGTGCATCGCGTGTGTGTTTGTGCGTCCGGTTAATTAAACGCGCTTTCTTCTTTTGGCATCTTCTTTATCTCTGCTTTTTGTCTATTTGTGGTTGTTGTTTTTTTGTATTTCGCTTCTATTTATATTATTATTTTTTTTATATTGCTCTGCGCCATTTAACCTTGATCAGTTTTCATTCCGTTGAACTTTTGGGCCTGTGTGTGTGTTATTGTTATGACTTTGCTGTGTGCTTGTGTGTGTGTATGTGTGCATATCAAAGTAAACTATTTAACCGTTCTCAATGTTTGTTTAATTAAACGCGCGCTAAAAAACAATACACACACACATTCACACACCTAAACAATTTGATTTCCAGTGTTTACAGTTACATCCTCTGCTTTTAGCTGGAATGGCAAGCCATAAAAGATCCACAGCTTCCATGTTCCACAAACGACAAGATCCACTCCTTCCAATTGAAATCAGTTGATGGTAAATTCTAAAATAAAAAATAAAATAGCAAGTTTGCATTAGTAATCAATTAAAGACATATTTATATAAGTCTAAAAAGTCTTATTAGGCTAGGTATTCGCTATTTTGTATAATAAACAAAGTCCAATTACAAAACTCCAATTAGCAAACAACAAGAATTCCAAAATAGATTAAGCAATCGACATGACAGAAAGCAGCGACACACATGCATATGTATGTATATGTATACACAGCAAACACACACATACACACACACGCAAACGCTAACGTTTTCGTACGTGCGATGACGTAAAATGCAGCGCAACCACAATTCCAATCAGAATCGGCTAATTTAAATGTTGCCGTTTTCTCACACTCGAAGCATTTTTGTGGCTGACAAGCGGCGGTAGCACTTGAAAATAAGAAAAGCAAAACCAACAAAACAGAGCAGCACTAAGAAATAATAGATGAAGAGGGAGCAGAGCCACAGCAATAATAAAAGACCTAAGCATGAAAAAAATGCCTCAACAATAAATTCCTTGTGGCTGGGCGCCGCTGCTGCTGCTGCGGTTGTTGTTGTTGTTGTTGCTGTGGCTGCTGCTGTTGCTATTGGTTGCGTTTTCATAAACAAAACACATGCATAAATGCTTAGAAAGTATGTATGTATGTATGTGCGTGTGTGTGTTCGTTGCTTTTATTAATTGCCATTTGAAAGTCTTTGCAACAATAGCAACGCATTGTCTTGTATTTTGTTATTTGTGGGCATTCCTTGACGCCTACCCGGCTGCCAGTGGCGTTTTGCAACACTGCCTCTGCCTCTACCTCTACCGCTGCCTCTGCCTGTGACTTTTCAATTAGAATAGCAAATTGCTCAAGTCGAGGCCTTTGCTCTCCTCACTCAATCAGCACTCGCGCTCTGCATTTGTTGTACAAGCATACATACATATGTATGTATGTATGTACATATGCTTATATACATATACAGCTATCTTGCTTTATCCCTTCTACTGCAGCCCATATCCTATTGCACACCGTTATTTGTATAAATTAAGGCATTTCTTTTGTGCTGTTCACACATACACAGACTCACAGTCGCATATGCACGTGTGTTTGTGTTTGTAAGTAATTTGCTCGTCTTTGTTTGACTGCGGCTAAAAACTGATTTTGAAAAGCACAAACACTCGCTCATACACACACACACACACACACACACACACATTGCGCACTTACAGCTCAACACAATACACTTACATTGCAAGAAAGAGCTTGGCCAGCTGAGCATGGGCATGGGCCTGGGCATGGGCTCGGGCCTGGGGCCTGGGGCTGGGCAGTCAAGTTGGCCTCTCGCTCGTTCGGTCAATGCGCGTGCTTGAATGTTGTGCTTATTGCGGTTATTACTGTTGTTTTTGCTGCTGCTGCTGCTGCTGTTGTTGTTGTTGTCTCTGCTATTGCGCAAGCCTGCCCGCTTGCGGTGGTTGCTGTTGTTGCTGCCTTCATTGTCATTGTTGTTGCTGTTGTTGCTGCTGCTGCTGTTGTAGTTGTTGTAGGACTCGGTTTACTTTCGCATTGTCGCTCGTCTCAGTTTTCTGCAAAATGTGAAGAAACAACAAAAGGGCAACAAATGATTACCAAGATATTCACGTACATGAACGTGCGAGGGCTGCTCAACAAGTTCATTAAACTTTTACTAACTTAAAAGAAATGAATATGGTGACTATTATCAGGTATGTATATACAACAAAACAGGAAATTTAATAACTATATATACACTTCTTCTTTTTATAATTATAAATTCAGATCATTTTACATATTTCTGAGCTATACATTTTTTGAAACTGCCCTCGCTTAAGAACTTCCACTTGAGCCGCAAATTAAAAGCGGATAGAACAATTTACTTGAGTTTAACGAAGTTTTTATGCTCTAGTGCATATATGATTGTATCTACACAGATATATGTATACATACATATGTATATATTTATGTATGTGGCTTGATCTCTTGATGATCTGCAGAAAATCTTGCATAGATTAATCATGGTCTCACAGTAAATTTGATGTTAAGGAATGTGGAGTTCAGGCAGACACAAGACACACACATACACATACATACATTTATTGTACTATATAGTCTCTGCCACGCTTGCTTCGTTGAGGGTATTATAAAAAGAGCTGAGCGTAAAATGTAAATGGGCCACATTGCAATTATAACTTGAAAAACTGCAGAACGAACAAATTAAAATTGCGGCCAAACTCGATTAATGAACGAAGTCTGTTTATACCTCAACATATACATACACACACATATGTATGTGCGTGCATGTGTGTGTGTGTGTGTAAATGCTGTACGCTTTGCATTTTCGCTGCATTTGCTTATTTGACAAAAAAGTACTCAAAGATACAGACACGTACTCGAACTCGAGCTGGCATTCGCATTCGCATCCATAAGATACTTTCGCATTTATCCGATACATTCGTATTTATAAGATACACAGCCACAAAAACACCAAGAAGAAGAAGAAGACTTTGATATGCGCGTACCGGTTGACGAAAGATGCTTCATTCCCTGCATCTGCATCTGCACCTGCCGCCGCCCCTGCCCCTGACCCCATCTCCATCTCCATCTCCATCTCCATCTCTTTCCCTCTCACTCTTTCTCTTCTTTTTCTCGGTCTGCTATCTCAGTGCCCCTCCATATGGATATAGCTCATTTAGATCTGCGGATCGACTGCGGCACGGCTGCTGAGCGTGACGGTGACACGTTGCATGGGGATTATGCAAAAAAGCCAACGAAGTTGCAACTGCAACTGCAACGCTCGCTGGCAGCTGTGGCACGCACAGTGGGGCCAAGAAATGCTAAATCTAAACAAAAAGTCAACAGCATTCACATTTGAATGAGGAAATGCAGGTAAATAAAGGTGTAATTGTTTATAAACATGCACAAGGAAACGAGGAAAACAAATTCCAAGTAGTCGTAGTCGTAGTCGTAGTCATAGTCATAGACCAAGTCGCAGTCTCTATAGTAAACAATTTCCATAGCATTTGGTTTGAGTAAACAACAGTGTTGGAAAGTTAACCGACAATCAGCCATGGCTTGGCTCTAGCTGAAAGGTATAGATAGGTACTATATAGATGTATGTATATAGTTTAAACAATTGTACACACATACATACATGCAGACATATAAATTGTAAACAAGTGCTCGATATTGTTGCATTGATGGTTTAGGTACATGAATTGAATACTTGACAGCGAGCTATTCTGGGCAAAGATAAACAGCCGATTATCTCGTATGTGGTCTATGCATACTCAATGGGTTCCGTTGGAAAGTTGCTTTAAATTGAAGACGAGTTGAGTGAAAGCAAGCAAATATCGTTGAGAATGGTACGATTTATAAACATTTAGTTTGGGCATCAAAATAGGATATACTTGGGATCAATCAGTCGCTTGAGTTTAGTGATATAGCAGGCTGTCATATGTTTCCTTTGGCTGTGGTAAGGTGTGATATATGAAAAGGAGGTTTTTTATCTACTTAAAAATGATCCCCTGTGTTAAAAGTCGTAAGACTTGTACTTTAGCGATCTAGTAGGATCCCGCCATTGACTACAGCCAATATACCATAATACATGGTACAAATTTTAGATGTTATCGGAAAATATATTTAAGGTTAATTTTAATTTTTAATTTAATTTTTTAATTTAAGTCATGTGGTGAACTCTCTGATCTAAAATTAAATTCCAATAAATACAATGAATGCAGGAGGGAGTCTTTCATCTATCCTTAAGATCTCTAGACATCAATATATTTATATTACAAATATACATAAATTTAGTTGTATTCCTTTTAGAGCAAAGGCGGTTTGCTTTATAAATTTTAAGCCAATTAGAATAACCTCTAGAGACACTCATATTAATTAGTGAAAGAGCTAAATTTGAGATTTGTAAGTGCAACTTTTCCCGTCCTATCTTAATTTTGAAGAACCCCATTTAAGTAGAACTGCTCAATTATCAACTATGAATAATAGAAGCAGTTAAGATATCATGTATATAGTCATAAAAATGAAACAGAATCCCATGAATAGCTTTAATGTGCCACGATATGTATGTTAATTGTGAGTTGAAGACCGTCCGTGACATGTGCTCGATAAGAAGAGAGCTCTTAACCGAACAGACGTGTACACATGTATGTATGTATATATGTTTGTATGTCGTGTTAAGAGTGCTTGTGACCCGGCACAGTTTTAAGCCCGGTTTTTTTTTTTCGGTGGATGCGTCGACTTTATGGCATTGCCCAAAATGTTTCTTGCATAATACTCGAGACGATAATGGCCCATGGGGCAGGTTAAAGCCGGAGCTGTGATACATTCATATATAGTGTGCATGTGTGTTATGTGTGTGTGTGAGTGTTGACCGGGTAAAACCACCGCAATAAACAAAAACAAAAACAAACATACACACGCACACTCATTTGCTCTCGGCACATTTTGAATCGCCTTGATTATTGGCTTGGTAAACATACCAACCGCCCCCCTTGGTCGCCTCCCCCCGCATGTAACACCCACCCCGTGGCAGCTCCGACATCTGTTTCTGTTTCTGTTGCTGCAGTGACGCAGTCCACAAATTTGTACACACAAATCAGTATATGTATGTTTGTATGTATATATATTTACATATACATATATATTGTATATTGTATATTAAAAATCATTTTCATTTTAATTTCATTTTCAATTTCAGTTTCGATTTCGATTTCATTATGGTTTTCCGCATTCTACCCTGTAGCCATTCGAAATTTTTGGTATAATCATGCTTGTATATTTCGCAATTAATTGATGTACAGTCGTGAATAAATATTTCCTATATCTGGTGATTTATGCTTGATATTCGATTTCGTTTTGGGGGAATTGAACGAAATTTGTTACGAAATCGCAGAACAATTTGATTTCATTTTGTGTGAGTCAATGAAGGTATGAATTGATAATGGAATGGATAATATATACATACAGATATGTATACTTAAATATATTAATACAGAAATAATTTGATCCAGTTTACCATTGATTTATATAACAGCACGATGTTGATGATGATATTGCTCATTGCTCATATCATATCAGATCATTGTACAATAGTCAAATTCTTAACCCATTATTTATATAATCATCTATAAAATGATATAGGTTCTATCAGATCATTTCCCACAAATATGTATACAAATAATGGTAGTAATACAAATACTGACCAAAATATATATAGCAAAAAGTATTGAAATATTTCTTCTGTTGCTAACAATAAAAAATGCTAAAAGTCCTATTATATAATATTATAATTATATCAACTATCCAAACTGCATATAACTGATGAAATTACCTCTTAGATCTCTTTAGGCTGGGAGTATCTCAGGCCTGCGAGGTATTTGCTAGTCGAGCACATATTTCTTGTTAGCCAACTGTGTCAGCAGCGTCCAAGGCAACACTCTCTTGTATTGAGAGGAGGGGTGGGGGAACTGTGCTGTTGTGGTTGGTGTTCCGGGTGTTAGGTCGTCGCCGATGGCTCGGGGGGAATCAAGTAAAAAGTTCTTATCACGGCGTGTTAAACGTGTGTCCATTTCTTCTATCAATATGCATAACATTTAAATTGACTCAAGAGGATGCCATAAAAACACGCACACACACTATGTCTCTGTGTGTGTGTGTGTGTGTGTGTGTGTGTGTCAAGGGTTGCGCTGATTATTTTATGGCCATGTGGAAATCTACAGGAAATGTCCGAATAGCCAACGGCACTGCCCAAGCATTTTTCCATTGAAAAACAATGAAAAACATTTCACATTTCACATTCCTACGCCTCTTTTTGTTGCTCTTCTTCTTCTTCGCCGTCTTGATTTTTATGGCACTCTCAAGTGGTTCGTTCGCAGCGCAATAAATGCAGAAGAAGAAGCAGCAGTAGACGCAATTGTAAACTTGGCGCATAGCTGTAAAATAATTAAACAAGCCTAGGCCAAGCATGGTCAACACACGCACGAGAATTTCAACAGCAGGCGCCGCGGCGCCTTCGCCGACAGTGTTGGAAAATTTCCCGAAACTGAAATAACCACACACACATATGTCTGCCTGCCGTTGATTTCCATATGTCCTGTTATTTCCCATCAAGTTTCCATTGCAATTGCAATTTTCATTTCCCATCTTTGGGCGTATTGCAAAAGTCACAGGGAATCAGACCCGGCAGCAATCACTGTGTGGGCGTACTTAATGGATGAATCGCGCTTACTCAAGAGCAGTAAAAGAAAATAGAGAAAACCCATTTGCAGATTTTAATTGACTCCATGTGAAGCGCAGAAAATGAGTGGGAAATGTTTGCAGCGTGGTAAACATAAATCTATTTACATTTATATTCATATCCGTATTCATGGATATGGATGGATCTACATATACATAGATCCTTATTGATTCATATCTATCCATGCCTATATCTATATCTATATCTATATCTATATCTATATCGATATCGATATCTATATCTATATCTATATCTATATCTATATCTATATCTATATCTATATCTATATCTATATCTATATCTATATCTATATCTATATCTATATCTATATCTATATCTATATCTATATCTATATCTATATCTATATCTATATCTATATCTATATCTATATCTATATCTATTTAATTCGATTAGTTGAATTGATTTACTTGATCCATAAATAATACATTTTCTAGCTTTAATTCATATAAGAGCTACCTCATCATTGTTAGCTGATTCAGGCATCCATGCCAAGCAGTACAGTTAGCAGAGTTCAGATAACTAACTATGGTGAAATAAAGTTTTAAATAGAGACCAATTCATTCGTAAGCAGGAAGAGTGATATAAATTACTCATTCAGGGTTAGTCAATTAAGTAGTTGGAAAACATTTCTTATACTTTATACTTCATCATATAGTAGAAGACTAGAAACTGTCTATAACTGAAATGTTTATATTTAATGATACTTGACTTTAGGAGCTCTATCAGGCATCCCACATATACATGGCTAAACAATATACTCCAGTCTACTCTACTAGTTTAAATGAAATCGGGGCATAATATGAGACGTTTTTCTTCTTCGTGAGTTATCTTTGGCAATTACGTGCTTCGCTGCCTTTAGTCGAGCTATCTAGAAAGTCGTATCAAAACAGTATAGAAACTATCGCTGCCATATAAATCAGTCGTACAAGGATTGTCTACCAGGATTGTCATCTACCCAAGTCTCTCTCAAAGATCGACAGATATAGCAACTGAATTATATATAAAATATGTTCCCACACATGTATGCAATTTATTCATTTAAATTATTCACCAATGAGTAACTCCCTCGAGTTCTCTGTTAGGTTTCGCAACTTCAGCTGGGGTCGTATTACCTCATTAGAGAGCAACTAATGCGAAATAATTTGATACAGCTGTTAAATCTTCGCCATAGATGCGCGATGAATTCATCGTCGTGGCATGACAAACAGAGCTTTGTTGACTCCATCTGAGCGACAGGCAAATGGAATTTTCAGTTTAAATAATGATATCTGTGTTATTTATGCTTTTAAGTTCTGTTTGCCACCGAGCGAAAGAAAGTGAGGCAATTGACGGCTCTATGACTGGATATTTGTATTTGCATTTGCATTGCTGTTTATCTTTGCTAAAGGTGTGTCTCGATTACAAGATTTACCTGTGCGTCTGTTTGTCCAAGACACACAAACACAAACACACACACGCACACGCTCATAATCTTATCAGCACAGTGCTGGCCATAAAGTTGGGTATGGTCTTAAAGACCGTCTGGAGAGATTCCTTACATAATTGTATTGTCTAAGCCTATGATATGTATGTACATATATCATATAAACTATGTACTCGACTAGATCAACAGTTATGTCTGCAGCCCGCACAATGTCTAGTTCCTAATTCCTAGTTTTATGAGTCCCATTATATGAATACTGATCAAATAGCTCACCTTAGCAAATGGTCTCCAGGGGTATCTTTGCTGTTGTTGTTGCTGCTGCTGCTGCTCCTCCTTGGGGTATGGATGGGGGTTGGGTAGTTGGACTGCACGTCGCAGGTATCGAGGTGGGGGCCTCCTCTGTGGTGGGGCTGGCAGGTGTCATGGTTGTTATCGTGTTGTTCATGGATATGTTTTGGGTGAATTCGGTGCCATTGGCCATGGAGGGCAGACCCTGGGAGCTGCTCGAGTGCTGCACGCCATTGGTGGTGTTGGTGATGTCGTGTCGGAGGCGCGGACAGCAGATGCGCTTGCAGGCGGTCCACACCTGCGGCTGGCAGCCGACCACAATGAATATGAAGACGCCTTGGAGCGCATTGATGAGATCCGTCAACAGCCAGGCACCATGCGGCCCGCCCACCAGCCACGAGATGATGTCCCAGATCCAGGTGACGCCCATCACCACCACCAGCTTCAGGCACACGCGACCCAGCGCCGATTTCTCCGACGTGGACTTGACATCGTCGCGCTTCCACAGTCCACACGTCAGCTGATGCGTGGTGGAGATGAAGAGCACAATGTTGGCGCACAACAGCAGTCCGATCGGGCCGTAGAAGTAGGCGAAGATGGTCAGCGAGCGATTGTCGAACCAGCAAAACGGCTGACCAAAGCCCGGCCGCAACATCGAGGTCTCCGTCTCCGGCAGCTGATCCACAAAGGCGGCAATGGCGCAGATGAGCAGGGGCAAGCCCCAGGCATAGACGGAGTATAGACGCAGACGAATCGACTCCTGATTGCGCTCCAGCGAACTGGGCCGAAAGTCTCGGAATGTCCACCAGATGTTGAAGCACATCGTGTTCAGCCAGAAGAAGGCGGACAGGAAGAAGAACTGCATGCCAATGGCAATGAGCAGACAGCTTGCTGTGCCCGGCTCCAGGCTTGTGCTCAGCTCCTCAATGGCCAGCAGAATCTTGCCCACCAGCAGGCAGAACACGTAGTAGATCTGGCAACGCCAGTGCAGTGCATGATGCACTGCCGGCAGCATATACCCGGCAACCAGAGTGGCCGCCAAAAAGATAATGGATATGATGATGCCCACGTCCAGCACGGCCTTTTGCAGATTGCCGTTTGCCCCGCCATAGGAGACATTGTTGTGGTCATCGGCAAAGTGCTGGGTGCAGGCAATGATCTTCACCTCTCCTGCTCGCTGCGTGTGCTCCAGGCAGAACTGCGCAGCCGTCAAATTCGTGTGGCTGAGCTGGAGGGAACCGCTGCTCCGGTTCAGTGTCGCCTCGTGCCAGTCCCCGGCTATGGCATAGCCAGTGCCGTTGCCTTTGCAATCGGGCAGCTCATAGGTAGTCTGGTAACTGCCTGTCTCCAGATTGGGCAGATTCAGCTGCCCACTGTCCGAGCTGCGCTCGGCGGGCGTCAGGACGCTGCAGGTCTTGGCCACGGTATCGTAGTAGCAACACTTGCCGCAGCATTTGCGCAGACGCAGCATGGGCGCTGTCGAGCTGGCCGGTCGCAGTGCATCGTCAGTGGAGGCTGATGCACCTGTGCCATCAGCAGCCGCTGGGGTCTCAAGATCATTGTTCTTGTCCTTGTCGAGGCAGACCAGCGCCACGCCTTGATCCACACAGTAGCGAGAGGGCTCGATAAACAGGCCACGCTCGTGCACCTTCATCGTGCCATTGGTCAGGAGTACGACATTCGCGTCACGGCTACTAAACAGCTCCTGCTGCTGGCCCTGCGCCTGGCAAGGCGGCCGCACGTTCGGCAGGAACTTCATGAACCGTGGCTTGGCGCCTCTGGGCTCAAAGAAGCGATTCTGCTGTTTCAGATAGACCAGCGGCACCCACTTCTCAGACGAGCCAGCGACGCACTCCAGAGTGCTGCCAATCAAATATTCGCCATGGTGGCAACACTTGTTTATCAAAACACGCGGTGGAGGCGGCCGACCCGACGCGCTGCCAGGCGACGCCGCTGTCGTTGTTGTTGTGAGCAAATCCTCTTGGCTGTTCGCAGTGCCGATCAGCAGCGCTAGCAAAAGCCAAAAGCTCTTCATCTTTGTGTGTGCGTTTGTGTGTGTGAGGGAGTGGAATTTAAAATGTATTGCGCAAGGCTTCGTTTCTCAATCCTCGTTTGTTTGTATGCCTAGTTTTACTGTTGCACGCAACACTGTTTTTACTGCACTTTCAATATAATAAATATGTTTATATTAACAATTCAAAATCGAAATTGATTGAACACAGTTTTAATTGCCTAATTGCATTGGTTGCTACATTTCCTGCAATGTTTTTCTTGTTAAGAGCCTCCTTTGCATTAGTTCGTCATAATACTACTTTTTTCTGCAGCTGCTGCACACAACACTGTTTTCGTAGCGGTGTCTCCTGTTTGTCTGAGCCCAGCTGAAGGTAAGCTTAGCTGCTGCACACAACACTGTTAGACGCCTGTTGCCTTCGCTGTACTTTCAAAACACAGAGACTGAGAGAGAGAGACACACACACATATATATATTCACACATATACATATGCTTGAGCAATGCTGAGCGGTAATTTTGTTGTTGTTTTGTGTCTTATTTTCTTCATCTAATTTCGTGGGCTCTCTCTTGTGTGGCTTCTTGTGCGCACGTTTGCAGGCGCTCGTTGTCAATTATGTGGAAATACAAATACTGTTGTTGCTCCTCGTTTTCTTGTTGTCTATCTTGTGCATTGTGTTTGGCACTATTTATTGTTGTTGTTGTCTCGCCCGCTGTCCGCCCCTCTACTGCATGTATTGGCCTTGCCAGCGTCGTCGTCAAGCACGCATGATCTTTTTCTCTACTTCTCTTCAGCTTTTCGCTTTCGTCTTCGTCTCGCTCAATTGTCTTGTTCTGCTGCTGCTTCTTCTTCTTCTGTTTCTTGTTGCTGTTTCGTTTCGGTTCTCAAGCGTAGCAGAAAATTTGCTTTTCACTTTTCTCCTCCGTCGCTCATCAATGGCATTTTATTTGCATTTGTTTAACACTTACTAATCAAATGCTTTAATTTGGCTTCTTTAACTTGGCTACACTCGGTTTAACTTCGCGTCTGTTGAACGAACCACAAATTGAATTCCAAGCGCGTCGTTCGAAAAAAAGATGATAAATCGAAAAAAAAAACGCACATACAAAAAATTTCACGGCGAGCTGCACGCCTGCACTGAGCGACTACAAAAAACCGACTAGCGGACTGTTAACTGTTAACAGGCATGCATTCACGTTGTGCAGCTGCTTACGTTCGGACACTGTTGTAGTTGTTGTTATATCGATATGCTTTACCACCTCGCTGTTATCGATACTTTGGCGCGCTTCTTGCCGGTATTGTTCAGCACTGCTTTGTCGCGCCAACAGCTCTTGCTCTAGAGCTTGGTTAGCTGGTGCTAGTCCTGGATAAGCTGTTTGGAGTTTTTCATTTTGGTTCTGTTTTTGGCTGTTTACAATTGTATTGCATAGTTTTGGGCGGCATTTTTAAAGGCCTGGAGAGCTTTTGCATTTTGGATTGTGCTACGGATAAGCTGTAAGCTTTTATTGTTCCCAGTATTGAAACTTTAGTTTGCTATAATTTGATTTTTCTTTGTAAATAATGGTTTATCAAAGACTAGCACCCCTTGCTATAAATATATATAACTTTACCTATTTGCTTTTTCACTTTTTAGCTATATCTCTCTCCTTCTAAGTTTTATCCTCCCTATCTCGCTATCTCCCACTCTCCCTCTCTCTCTCCTTGTCTGTTTGTAAATTATTGGTGCACCTAGGCTAGTTAATACCTCGAGAGCTCAGCTAAAAAAACTAATAAATAAATCCCGTCGCCCCGTTGACACCTCTCCAAAGGCAGACGAAAAGGGGGAGTGGCTGCCGCCTGGCAGCAGTGCATCTATTTTTGGGGTGGCTGCCCCGCTGGAAAATTAGATAGAAAATAGAAACAAATCCATTTGATTAAAAGTGTATGACATGACAGGGGGGTGCGGCAGGGTGGTGGTTGGGTGGTTGTCTGACTGATTTACAGGGTATGCGTTGCTCAGTCTCGGGCATTAAGACATCAAATGGACAGAGCCCAAAACTCTGACAGCAGTGAAAATCGTTAAGCCAGCGAAGTGGAACAGACGACGCTTGCAAAAATTCACCACGGCCTTGGCACTGGAGCCACAACCACCCACAACCACGCACAAGCACCCAGAACCAGCCACCCGAGCAGCTCAACCTGCTCGGCTTTTCGGTTGCTCTCTGGTGCTTGAAATTAGATTTTTGACTGAGCGACTGGTAGAGGAGAGCAGCAGCAGGAGCAGTAGCAGGAGCAGGCGCAGCGACAGCATTTGGCCAGTGTTGCATAACATTCGTTGCGAGTCTTAAGTGCGCCACACGTGCCCACACACAGGGGGCGTGGCGCTGGTGGGCGCTGGCACAGAGGCGGGTTAGAAGCAGCAAGCTCATGAGCTCGACCAAATCCTGCAGCGCAGAGCACGTGATTTATAATACCCTGTAAATGAGGAGGTGGGCAGCACCTCTCTCTCTCTCTCTCTCTCTCTCTATCTATTCAATAAGGGGCCACTGTGGGCGGGGGCTGTGAACTGTGTGCTGGCGCGCTGTCAAGTTTTTTGGGCAACAAATAAATGTTTATGAGCGGATTATGTTTGCCTTAACCGAATGCCATCTGAATTTAATGAGCCCAGCCACTAGTGGCGCGCTCTGCTAGACTGCTGGCATACCCTGTAAATGGAAGTGGACAGATATTTCATTTAATTCAATTTCTACTCATTTATAATATTGTATAAAAGTACAATATATTGCATAACGTTTAATCACACTCGAACAGTTAATAGTTACCTGCTGGCCACGCCCCTTCATTGTTGGTTTCCTCTACAGGCAGAGCTATATATCTGGAGGAATTCAATAGTGATTCACTAGCGGAATTTTCTATAAATCTGAGTCTAAAACTGAGAAGAGCTTTTGCCGTTTTGCCACGCCCCAAATGATTCCTATTGAGATATCTCTGTATCACATTATAAACATACATATTTATCTATCTATATAAATATCTATATCTGCTTAGTGTGAGCTTAGCTTCAATCGATTTTAAACACAGTAGACCCTCGGTTAACGAACGACTCGGATAACTAATATTTCGCATAACGTATAAGATGCTGTAACGAATTATGTTCGTTAGCCAAGGGTCCACTGTAATCGTGTTATGCTCGGCCCAGCCACACCTTTAATAGGCGTAATGGGTATAGCAATAAGTTCATGTTTCGAATTTCAAATTTCCTGCTGCAATAGCGAAATGAATCGCCATCATGCAGATAGATGAGCTCTCGGACAGATGGACTGGCGGACGGGTAGCAAACCAATATACCCTGTTCATTTACTGAACGGGTAGAGCCACATTTAGTTTTGGTTTGCTGCATTTTGTTAATATATTTGAATATTTAACAGAAACTTATCCACTTGGTGCCTCATATTTTACAGGGTATCTGTTATAGTCTAACAGCAATGTTAACGTCGCCGTTGGCTTCGTCGTTGGCGTCGTCGTTGGCGTCGCCGTTGCTTGGCGCATTTTTTTAATTGAAATATGTCGCCACGACATTTCATACACATTTAACAATCCATCAGACATTTTCATTTGCCCCCACTCCCCAGGTCGCTCGCCCCCCCGTGCCGCCCTCGCCGCCCGCACAGCCACTCGATGGCATCCACTTAATGGCACTCTTGTTGCTTGGCTCGTTGTTGTCTAATTTATGCCGCAATCGTTGCCGCCTTGTCTTCAATTAGTCGCCCGGCAACTGCAACTGCAACTGCAACTGCAACTGCCCCAAGGGGCAGCCGCTTGCATCTCCATTTACAATCGATCGAACGAGCGAGACAGAGAGAGAGGGAGAGAGAGAGAGAGAGCGTGAGTGAGTGTGGGGAGACTTCAAACTATTCGTCTAGTATTACTTGATACTTAACCGTCCTTTATTTATGTCCCTGTCAACGCCTCTCAGCTGCTCACTTCTCCAAATGCGAAAACCAACAAAAAATTGAAACGAATTGAAGCCAAAGACGAAGTTTATAATACCCTAACAATGTTATACATAGATAGACTTGATACTATAGCAATCACACATACATCTCTGATCATCATTCAATATGTATATTTTATATTTCCTGTATGACTTCTAAATTTCCCTAATTCACATATGAATATTGGAACTAGTTCTATATGAAAAGTATATATAAATGAACTAGTTCAGCTGAATTGAAAAGAAAGTGAGGCTCTCTAAGACATTCCAAGAAGTACACACTCAAGTAAATAGTTCACATGAACTAGCTCAAAGAACAGCAATTGGCTTTTCAAACAATCTGTTCTTAACTTGAAGATGATGTCTTTCTCTTATTTCAATTTCTTGATGTGTCTGTTAAATTTAACATCTACTTCAAACCAACTTGGCTTCAGCTGACTGTTAAACATATAGTTGAAGTTTCTGCTTCTTATTCTTTTGATACCTAAGCTAAATAATGTAAACGTATTTCATGTGTCTGTCAAAATCTCACGTCTCTGTCAAATTTAACAGCTACTTTTATTTTTTATTAAAATTTCAACAGAGGAGCTCCCAATTCGCCGCCGCCGCCAATCGTCAAAGTGCATGTCAAAGTTGACAGGCAGTTGGCTTTTGCTAACGACAAAACAAATCTTCTGATCAGCGAATTCTTTTTCCTAACTTCTATTGGCTTTCTATGAAGCGCTGCCATTCGGTATGGCCTTGCCAGACTGCTCAATTTTCCATAAAACTCATTTAGCTCCTCTGCACGAATATACTCTAAGTGAGGGCATTCACCAGTTCTGCTTCAGTCCCCATTTTGTGGGGGGTACAGACAGACGGACGGGCGGTCGGGCGACTTTTTTTTTTTTTTAGTTAATTGAAACCTGTTGTAAATCACAAATCATATTGGCGTCACTTGTCCCAACAGCAGCAGCAGCAGCAACAGTTGCTGACAACAGCAGCAACAGTTGCAGATGTCGACAGTTTTTCATGTCTGGAAAAGCTCGACTGGGGCGGCGGCGGCCTCATCTTCTTGCATTACATGCGAAGCGCATTTTCTCTGGGAAACATTAGATCATAAAAGCCCAAAGTTGCATTTTAGATATAAACAGCGGGCAATGGAACATGTCAGGGGGGGAGGGGGACTACGATTAGATGCCAGTGATTGTATATGCTAGATGGTATAGTGGTATAGAGGTTTGTGAGGCGGTACATGAAACCGATAGTAGAAATGTACCAAATTTAATTGATTCTATGATATTGTTAAAAGCAATCGAATTCATTTGGTTGACATTCGAACGAAAATACAAATTTTCCACGCACTGCCGAGTACTTCCATCCCATAATATTATAGGTTGGCTATTGTCTCTGGTATGTAGTCGAATTGATAGACAGACCCGAAGATAAATAATAAAGTTTTAGATAGACAGACTGATAGATAGACATTCTCGGCTAAGTAGAAGCTAAGCACTCAATGGAAATCGAATAATGATATACTATAATAATAGTGATATTATATGTATATATATGAATATAGTGATGATATATCATAACTATGTTGGTGATAGAAGAGTTCCTCTACGAGTCTATGGACTCAATCGACCCTGTTCAAGTGTTGGCATCTTACCAAATGTTAGTCTATATAATATAGTAGTAGTACTAGTATAGGGAGAGAGAGAGAGAGAGAGAGAGAGCCTGTTGGCATGCCATAATTGGGATGCGAGTCGAGCTCTCTCTTATGTCATCATCGATCACAATATTGAAATGGAATCAGACAACTGTAAACTAATGACATTTGCGAGTGCTCGGCCCGATCCTGTCTGGCCTCGTGCGGTGTCCTTTGTGCGTATCCGCTTACAGCAAGGATGTCAAGGATGTTCCGCTGCGAGGGTTGCTGCTGCTCGTTTGTTTGTTTTGAGTGGGTCGACTGGCTGTCCAAATATGCGGCAGCTTGTAACAATTACCAAATGACACCCTCGACAATCGGCAATCGGCAATCCACATCCGACAACAGTCGAGGCAGAGCAAGAGCCATAGGCAGAGGTAGAGGCAGTGGCAGAGGCAGTGGCAGAGGCGGAGTCCGAGTCGGAGGGTTGCAAAAGGACATCAAAGCCCTAGGCTAGACAAATGCGCAAATATTCACTTGTCGCAAAATCAATGGCTATAATTCT